TTAAAAAAATTAAAAAATAAATAAATGAAATAATGTGCATTGGCGTTAAGTTAGACCAAATACATTTTTTCCATCCTCCTACTTATCGTTATGAAGGTATAAAAAAGATAGGGAGTTCACATAGGTAATATAAACAAATAAGTAAATATGTTCATTATTTATCTTTCAAGAGATAATATAGGTATACATTATAATAACTTTTTTACACAGTCGAAATTATATTCCTAACATTAGTAAAATAACATTTTAATACGATAGGTAAGAGGATGGAAAAAATGTATTTGGTCTATCTTAACGCCAATGCACATTATTTCATTTTTTTATTTTTTATTTTTTTTAATAAACTGTATACCAATTAATTGCTCCTTCAGGATTTATGTTTGTTTTTTTTTACGATTAAAACCGCGTAGAAAGTTTAGGCATTATAGTTGACGCATGCGCAGTACACATTTTTGCATACATTTATTCAACTAATAAAAATAGTAAATTAAACTAAAAACGAGTAATTTCGAAAGAGAACAAACGTGTTTTATATAAGAACAATCGAAAATGAATATTTACGAGTCATTAAGGATGAAAAAATATAAAAAATTGCATTAGAGGGGCTAACTTGTAGGTATATTTTTAAATATTTTTTTAAAATAAATAACTGCAGAACAAACAATTATTAACAGTGAACAGTCATGAACAAATGATGAACAAACGAATTAATAGAAAATAAGTATAAAATAGGAAAAAAAAATTTTTTTGAGGGGCTAACTTCATTCACCTAATAAAGGGAGGGCTATTGGGACTCTTTATTTCTATATTTTTTTACATATCCTACCTCCTTCTATTCTAGTGCGAGCCATAGAGCTAAAACTAAAACGACAATTTTTAATTTGTAGAACATTAATTAATACGTTTCCACCGGCCAGGAATAAACGTCTATGATCAAAAAAACTGGGCTCATAAATATCATTATAGTACCAGAGATCAAAATAAGACATGGCGTAGCTGTCAAGTCGTCAGAAACTAGGCACATACATTTTTTTGCAACGTAGTTCCTTAGCGTGACTTGAGATCGGAGTTGACTCATAGAATTCATCAGGTAACAAAAGAGGGCTATTCTTTGTTACATGTGACTTTCAGTCTCTGTATCTATCCATTAATTAGGAGTGTGGAGGTATATATATGCGTTTATTAGCTAATTAGTAAGCATCGATATTTCAAACATTACGTGCTATTCACAGCTGCATAAGTAGGTATCATTGCCCTGACTGACAAAACCGGCGCATGCGCAATGTAGGCGTGAGGTGATGGTTTGTTTATAAGATATAAAATAATTAATAATTGGGAATTTAATTGTTTTTATGATCGAATAATCACCAATAGTCGTCGAACAAACGATAATTGATTAAAATTTATTAATCTGAGCGATTAAAATAAAGATATCTAGTAAAGAGGGCCAACTTAAGGGTGATCATTTGCTTAAGTAATTATCTATACTAATAATATTATATAGAGGAAAGATTTGTTTGTTTCGAATAGGCTCCGAAACTACTGGACCGATTTGAAAAATTCTTTTTCCATTAGAAGCCGACATTGTCCCTGATGAACATAGGCTACTTTTTTTTTTTTTTTGCTTTCATGTGTGTTTTAATGTTTCCGAAGCGAAGCGAGGGCGGGTCGCTATAAATAAATAAAAGACAAACAAACATTAACGAACAAACGACGAAAAAATAATTAAAAATAAAAAAATCTGAAAATCAAAAAAAGGGGCGCCAAATTCAGTGAGCCGTCTATGTAGAAACATGAAAACCGACTGTTTCANTATTATTATATTTTTTTTTTGCTTTCATGTGTGTTTTAATGTTTCCGAAGCGAAGCGAGGGCGGGTCGCTATAAATAAATAAAAGACAAACAAACATTAACGAACAAACGACGAAAAAATAATTAAAAATAAAAAAATCTGAAAATCAAAAAAAGGGGCGCCAAATTCAGTGAGCCGTCTATGTAGAAACATGAAAACCGACTGTTTCAAATGTATAATAAATGAGTGCTTCCATCCAACCAATCATAGATGTTGGACTCATAGATTATACACTTAATATATGTTGGACTTTTTGGCGGGAGCCCGAGGAGTGAAGTTGTGTGATTTGTTTTAGTTTGTCTATTTAGTGGTTCTTCAGGTTTAAATGTGTAATAATGGTGGTTTATTAACTGTTTAATATCTGTGAAAGTGCACAAATGTGGGAAAATGAAACAAAGCCGCAGGACGTAACTTCTCGGGATCCTCCAAAAAGTCCACTGAAAAAATCTTTGTAAATGACCACCATTTTATTGAGATTATATTTCATCCCATATCATCTCATTTCATTTAATTTTATCCCAGTTGATTAATGTCTCAAATTAATCATCTTCATTTCGTTTCACTCCATAATATAATTTTTCATAAAAATATGAATATAAATTAAAATAAGACTGACTTAAAGGTCTCAGTTACCAGGTCATAAAATCCCTTAAAAAATCATAGATGTGACATAGGTAAGGTATGAATGCATCCAATGTTCCCAAAATCTTAGAAGTGTTTGATTGATACTGTCGGACTAACATTAATGTTGCCTTCAACGGGATATTTTAACGCCATTAATTGTCCTTTTTACGACAATGGCCTTTGTGAAAGACCGTATTGTCATTTTCGTCATGTAAAAAGAGATTTACAAAATTCATCCAGTGATGGAATTGAAAGCGGTGCGATATTACAAAAACTTGTTTCAGCAGCTGTACAAAAGGTTCTACAACAAACTGATAGCACTGGGTCCGCAATTAGTGTACAGACAGTAAACAATAATCTCGATGACAATCTTGTATCTATTAGTAAACCAACCTACAACCCTACACCAATATCGGAACTTAAAAAGATAAATCATTTAGAAACAGAAAATAACGACGAAAATAGCGAACAAAGAAAACGTCATATTCCCGTACCATATACCCCACGAAAACCAGTCAGTGCAAGTTTGAGGATACCTGAGTCGCAGGATACATCTAAACCATTCATTTACATTCCTCCGCCATTAACATACACTCCTGGGAGTAACGAGAATGTACAGTGTGATAGTTACGTGCCTCCTGGATCATCTGCAAGTACAGAAACCTATAATCCAGGTTCTGAAAAAGAACTGCAAGAATATCAGCCTTGTGAACTAGACCTAAATACTACAAACAAACGAAATTACATTCCTTCGGACAGGAATTCGAGCAAAAATAAAGTTCTTGAATATAAACCTTCTAAAGTTTCGACAAGAAATGAACCTGCTGTAAAATATCAACCAACACCAAAGTTCTTAGCTCCATGTTTCTCAAGTGATGAGGATGAACCAGATAATAAGAAAATTAAATTATCAAGTGACCTTAATGGGCTTGATGATCTTGGCCCTGAGTTTGACATATTAGATCAAATACTTCATGAAGAAAACAAAAAGGAAGACAGTAAAACAATACTTAACAAGGCTAATAAAAAAAATATAAGTAAAAATAATAATAGTAGTAAATGCAATAAGGAAACTAAAGTAAATAAAGAGGATAAAGTAAAGTCTGATAGCAAGAATCATAATGGTGACTCAAAGAGTAAAAAATGTAGCCCTGAGAAAAACCAAACAAATAAAACAAGGAAACATAAATCTCATAAGAAAGAAAAAAGTCTAAAAGAAAAAGAAGATCAAAAGAGTCCTAATAGGAAATCAAGTAAGAAGGAAGGAAGTGATAAAGACAAATATAAAAGTAAAAGTGAAAAACATGAAAAGAAAAAAGAAAAGCAAAATAAATATGAATCCAAGTCATCTGATAAAAGTTCAAAACAATCAAGTCATAGATCATCCAAGTCTGATTCAAATAATCACAAATACAAAGAAAAGGAACATAGAAAAAAGAAACACAAAAGTTCAAGAGACAGACAAAAAAGTAAGAGTAAAGATCCACCTCACACTGATGATGTAGATCACCAATCTGATACTAGTGAAATGGAGCCTGATGAAGAGACTATAGCGATGGAATGCAAGAAGATTTTTGATGAATATGTTCCAATCAGAAAGATAGTTGCAGAGGAAAATGAACCTGCTATAGAAGAAACACAAGATGAGGAATATGTGCCCACAAAGAAGAGAGTATCACGTGCTGTAGATGTTAAAGTTGTAACAAAACGACAAATAAAACCAGATTACAAGATTGGTGCTGCCCAAGCAATGGCAGAAAGATTGGCTAAGGTTAGAGAGTTTCATAGCACAAAAGTTAATAATTCTCTGCAAAATGAAAGTAAAGGTGAGGACAATACAAATATAACAAAAAGGGAACTTCAGAAATCCATATTTAGTACAGTAAACTCTAGTAATTTGAAAATTCGTATTGCTCATGTACCATATGCCTCAACATTGATAAATGCCAAAAGAAATATTTCAACTAGCCAAGACATTGCAAAAAACAGTTTGCCCGCCGGCTCTAATTCATCTACTACTGTCCAAACCATAAAGAAAGGAGCACTGAGGGTAGCACACATGCCTAGTGAGAAATTTATAGATCGCCCAGGTGTTTTAGAGCCTTTGGCTTCAAAAATACCAGCAAATATTAGATCTACTTATTTAAATCTTATGATAGATGAATGCTTGAAACTTTACCTTTCCGCAACTGATGCGTATTCTAGAGCTCAACATGAAGAACTAGCTACGAGCAAGAAATGTAATACGGTTTCTATTTATAAAAACTCTGCAGTATTAACAGTCAACCGACTAAGAAAGGAATTACAGGAAAATAATGGTGAGAAAAAATCAAGTTCTGATTCAAGTAGAAAAGTAGATGCTAAGAATACAGGTTCATGGAGCATAGAGAATAGAAATAAAAAAAGTGATGAGATATCTAAAGAATTAACAGGTGCTAAATTTTATATCAATATTGAAAAATGGATATTGACTGAAGAGCAGCTTCAAGAAAATGGATTTCCTAGAATACACATAAGTGGGGAAAAAGGCAGAGCTTCAATTTATGTGCAACAAAAACAAAAACAAAAACCCCCTAAAGGCTCTATAAGAACATGTTGTAGATGTAAAAAAGATTATACTGTGGACAAAAAAGGTTTTCCTGCTGTAAAAGAGGAATGCATTTATCATCCTAATAATAAATACAGAATACGAGGTGAAGCTCGATATCAATGTTGTAGTCAGGATGGATCATCTGATGGATGTTGTATAGCACCTACCCATGTCTATGAATATGTAGACTATGATAATTTGAGAGGGTTTGTAAAAACATTACCTCCAGATAATAAGTGTGAAGATTATGGAGTGTATGCATTAGATTGTGAGATGTGTTATACTACCCATGGGTTAGACTTGACTAGGGTGACTATAATTAATGCAGAATGTAAAGTCGTTTATGAAACTCTTATAAAACCATTGCACCCTATAATTGACTATAACACTAGATTTTCAGGAATAACTGAAGAACAAATGGCTGAAGTAAAGACAACTCTTTTAGATGTTCAGGCCACTCTTCTAACAATGTTCAATAGTAAGACAATATTGATAGGTCACAGCTTAGAATCAGATTTTAAAGCTTTAAAACTTATTCATGATACAGTCGTAGATACAAGTGTTTTATTCCCTCATAAGATGGGTCCACCATATAAAAGAGCTTTAAGAAACCTATCTTCTGAATATTTAAAGAAGATAATACAAAATTCTGTAGATGGGCACAACAGTGCAGAAGATGCACTCGTGTGTATGGAATTAATTCATTACAAATTAAAAGAGTATTTGAAAACAAGATGATTGTAAGTTAGCTCGCTTACTTTGAGATTAATTTTGGGTCTTGGTGAATTAAATTACTAAGTTGTGGGAAAAATATAGCATTGTATTGCAATATCATTAATTTGATTAGAACTAGGTACATTGTCACTGATCCAACAAATTAAATGAATTACTCAATTAATCATTTGCTTTGATGGAATATTAAACATTTAGAAAGTCACTGTTTCTGAATTATTACATTACATGATGTAAAAATATTGTATTGAATATATTTTGTATGTATGTTTAATTGTTTTACTTTAAGTACTACAAGATTTTAATGTACAAAATAAATACATTGTGCCAACATTCTAAAATTACAAGTCTCGGTTTGATTACAGAGCAAATAAGTCCGAAATGACTCATATTCTCAGCAGATTTCGAAGTCGTCGTGGCCTAAGAGATAAGACGTCCGGTGCATTCGTGTTGAGCGATGCACCGGTGTTCGAATCTCAGGCGGGTACCAATTTTTCTAATGAATTACGTACTCAACAAATGCTCACTATTGATTTCCACGGTGAAGGAATAACATCGTGTAATAAAAATGAAACCCGCAAAATTATAAATTGCGTAATTACTGGACCTCTTGTGAGTCCGCGCGGGTGGGTACCACCACCCTGCCTATTTCTGCCGTCAAGCAGTAATGCGTTTCAGTTTGAAGGGTGGGACAGCCGTTGTAACTATACTTAAGACCTTAGAACTTATATCTCAAGGTGTGTGGCGCATTTACGTTGTGGATGTTTATGGGCTCCAGTAACCACTTAACACCAGGTGGGCTGTGAGCTCGTCCACCCATCCAAACAATAAAAAAAAAAAGATAATTTCTAGAAGTTTGTTTTTTCTTGAAAATATAAATGTAAAATATTTTTAATCTACTCTATGGAATATACCCTGAGTTTTGTATTTTATATTTTACAAGGTACGATAACATCTGAATTAAATGATTTTAAATTACATTCTTATAGCATTTTCGAACTTTCAAAATTGTTAATTTTTCGCTTCTAAGTGACGAATTGGCTGTTATCGAGGAAATCATTTTCAATGGAATCAAATCCGGATCTCTTCGGTAACACACCAAGTGCCTAACCCTTATTTTTTCCGATCCGTGGGAGGTCTAATTGCATGTGGCATGATTCGGAAGTGGTCACGGTTGCTCATTAACAATGTTAAGAGCACACGGCTGTCAAAACAATACAATGATTGGAGTATCCTTTTAAGCGTGCAAGCCTGTACTAGGAGACTCCGCTCCTCCATAAAAGCGCTTTATATACCACAATACTACCAATTATATATAACAAATGTGTGTGTGTGTGTGTCTGTGCGCGTTTATTTGTGCGTTTTACTTTAATATATATAGTATAGCCTCGAAACAAATTTTATACCTCCATGACGACCTGGACTTAGAGTCCATCAGTAAGTAGTATCTGCAGTCGGCGTCGATGCGCCACTTCGATAAAGCGGCACGACACGAGAACCCTCTCATCGTGGCCGCCGGTAACTACATTCCCGATCCTGCGGACAGAATGGAAAGCAGTCGACGTCGCCCCAAACACGTCATTTCGGTTCCTCCCGATCCACTAACGGTGCTTTTAGGTACCTCAAGCACCGGTCATCGTTCTCGCCGAATCCGTCGCTTGCGACGAAGGGCTCGATGACTAAATTAGCCCTCAGACGCAGCCCACTGAGTTTCTCGCCGGATCTTCTCAGTGGGTCGCGTTTCTGATCCGGTGGTAGATTCTGCGAAGCACGACTCTTGCTAGGGTTCGTGTTAGCAACGTCGCCAGGTTTGGGCCCCGTGAGCTCACCTACCATAGATTATACACTTAATATATTTGAGACCTACTATAGTAGAATTATTTTGTCCGTGCAGTTTGAGTCATAAAAAATCGGAGCGGTGAAGCGAGTATTTCGCTCTCTCTTCCACTCACGAGCCTTATGGACGAGCATAGTAATGCGCATTATTGTTGTCGATAAGCGTTATCGATAGTGTATTTAGTTTTGTAATTTTGTGGGTTATTGTTAAAAATTAAAGAAAAAGTCACTAACCGAACACTTACACCACATATCGCCGCAGCAAGTTAAGAACGGCAGAAATTAACACTCGCTGGATCTTCTCAGTTGATCAAGATTCCGATCCGGTGGTCGATTGTGGTGGTGGTGGCAAAGCACTGCATAGAATATCAGCGAATAGGAAGGGAAAAATTAAACATGTCTTACAGCCAACAAATTACTTGTTTGAAAAACACCATATTGTATCCATAACTATTGAGTGTATTTCCCAAATTAGTTGATTCGTTATCCACTTTATTGTGTTCTGTTGCGTATAATATGCAACGGCTTCCTTGCCAGCAGGTCGAAATAAAGGTAATTTAAATGTCTATATCTGATGTATTGCCATACCCCTGATACGGTTAGAGGTAATCATTCAGTCACAGGGGATCCAGACAGATTACCTACGCTACCAACCTAACGAAATGTTAGAATCACCTAAGAAGGTGATTAACTGTCGGTATATCAAGCCGAAATGTAGCTGGTGTCAACAATATAGACGTTAAAAATGGTAAAAAAATCTAAGTCGTCTTTAATAGTTTCCGCAACTTGCTTAAAACAAAATTCAAGGGTTGGCAAAAGAATAGTTTGTTCGTTATGTTCAAATACTTTTATTCCGAAACAAATTATTTAATTGGAAACTTTCTTTTTGTCGAATCTATTATTCTTATCTAGTTTTTGGCTTCCTAAACCCTTTGACGAACACCCGGTATATTATTATGAGTTTAATAATTTTGTTTCGGAAGCATCACATAAGATAATTTGAGCATTAGGAATATCAGGTATAAGTAAAAAAAAACTTTTAAACTGAAAATAATATTTTACTATGTAGAAGATGAAAATTCAATAATACATGTACAATGTACCTATTTTTTAAATATAAAAGGATTTAAATTTCTTGCATTATAATACAAAACACTTTAAACAAAACAAGACGCTTTGGGATTATGAATGTTTTATCAGAGTTATGAATTTAATAAATGAAAGAAGTTACCTTGTACTATTCATTATATTTTAAGTAGACACACTATGGTAATCATTTACACATTTCAAAATATGGGTTATTTCTGCTAAGCCATATTACTGAAATCCAAAAATCGTAATAATATTTAATCTTAAAGTTATGTAGTCCAAATTTGTTTGCAGCATTATTGAAATTATTTAACTAAAAAAATAATCTCAAACGCTTGAACGAATTCCACAAAAAGCTATAGTTTCATTAAGCACAATTTACTATAGTGCAAGGGTAAAATCTACGATACCACAATGATTTGATGATTTTTAGTAGGTATAAAGTTAGATCTGTTTTGTCTAGTTAAAACTAGTTTTAACTTAAATTCTTTATTACATGCAAAATTTACTGTTTTATGAAGTAATTATTGGTTAAAACTAGTTTTAGGATAAACTAGAAAAATCGCGTTCCAACTATTTAATAATATGTACAGTGTTTTCCTGTAATGTGAAAATATGTGATTTAATGAAAGATTTGCTCATTGTACATATTATTGTAGTTTTTATTTATAATACATAACTTGGTATATTTTAAATAATGTTTTCAAGTTATTGCCATTGGATAATATTTGGTTTATAAACCCAATTTGGATTTACACCAATTGCATTGACTCTCACTAATAAATTTAATATGAACAAAACGAAAACATTTATTTGCTATAAATTTTGACTGAAAATGTCCAAACAAGTATGCAAGTAATAAAATTTACAATTTACACTCTCATTCCAATGAATGCATGTATACGCCGGTTTCCTCGGCAACACTGTTGATGTGACGCTGACAAATAAAGTCAGTAGTGTCCCCTGCTAATCAATAAATGATTGTTCTACACATGCTTTCACTCTCTTTTCGTATTCTCGTCGATTCTCCTTGTAAAGCTGTGCGGCCATCGAATTTGCTGGAGANTAATAAAATTTACAATTTACACTCTCATTCCAATGAATGCATGTATACGCCGGTTTCCTCGGCAACACTGTTGATGTGACGCTGACAAATAAAGTCAGTAGTGTCCCCTGCTAATCAATAAATGATTGTTCTACACATGCTTTCACTCTCTTTTCGTATTCTCGTCGATTCTCCTTGTAAAGCTGTGCGGCCATCGAATTTGCTGGAGAGTTTGGGTTGGGATCACTTAATAATGACTGTAAAAAAATAAAACTTTTAATACTCCATGAATATTTATAAATAAATAAAGAATTGCCTTGTTTATTAAACCTAACTACTGTTATTTGGCTAAGAATATATGTAATTAGAAACCTACAACGTTTATCAAATGATGTCTAGCATGACATTAAAATAGTTACATTCAACTTATTTCCAAGCAGAATTTCATTTTGTTTTTATTATTGTTTGCTTACTTTATATAATGCTTATAAGTTCATGTGGACTGCATTGTAATAGGTTTGTTACAAGGGAAAACATATAATTAACATGCTGATGCATGGTACCGATCCTTCAGGCAACTGATAACAGCACGGTGATGCAAAAGAACATCAGCCAGCTGCTTTCACATATTTTGCTCAGCTTAGCAAATTAATAAAGATTCCTGTATACATTTTTATGCTAAGGTGGCACATTATTAGTTACAGCTTCAGGATCGATTCTCTTACACCCTGTGTGGTGTAAATCAAATTTATAGTTAGCAATTCACACAGAATTGTTTTTGCTTAATACTTCTTTTCTCTTTGATCTGATTTCTCCAGAATGTTGAATAATGGGTGGAGATGAATTTATACTTGATGCTGGGGTCGCACCCTTTAATGTACAGCACAGTTGTATGATGTCCTGTGGAATTTTATGCCTCAGCCTTAATTGTCAAGTACTCTGTTTTCCCTTTTTCAGATCTTATGATGGAATATTTGGCTTTATCACTACATACTTCATAAGACTTGTTGAATCTAACTCTCTTGCTTAACAGTATGTATAACGAGGTCACGGGGCAGCAGTTGAGCAATGATTGGTTAGCATCCTAAATTTTCTCTTAATAAAGCATGCATATTTCTGGTAAAATTTTCACTCTGCTGCAAGCTTTTAAGAAGATGAACAATCCATATACATATATTCTAGCTGATAACAGGATTTCATAGAAAAAGTAAATGTAGAGTTTTCAATTGTCAATACAAACTATTGATAAAATTATATTCATCAGCTAAACTATTTTGTGGGATCTATCACAAAATTGATTTGCCCAACATAACCCACATTTTCCCTATTAAACTTAAGATTTTACTTAACTAAGCTAAAGGTTAGAAATGAACAAAATACAATAAAGAAAACAAATACTGATTTGTTTGCAGACTTTGTCATTAATTACTTTCAAAACTTTTGTACAATCAGTATCAATGTTTTTTGAATACCTCTAAAATGTGCACAACTTTGGAATGCATGCACATATCAGTCTGTACAGTTGTGACTTTGTTTAATGTACTAATTACTGATTGTAAATGTTGTAAAGTATGAGTTATATGACTCCTTCAGATCCCATCAAAAATATGTTGGACACATATTTTTAGGTTGATTAATTAATTTGATTAATTTAATTTTCAATTCTACAAGTTTATGAATAAATTTCAATTCTGAATACATATTCTACCTGTATAGAAGTAAGTATAGCTGAAACATCATAAGTAGGACTCCATCTGTTTTGCAGGATATCTAGGCAGATTCCACCATCGGCGTAAACATTTGGATGAAACATTTTTGATACAAATCGTACTGTTGGGGGTTTATTTGGATATTCTTCTGTAAATTCTATTGTGAGTTTGAATGTTCCATCTTCAAATGGAGTATCATGAGGGCCAAATATCACAGCATTCCAGATCATAATATTGTTATCAGTTGGAGCTCCTGACACACCTGTAGGTGGATCCTCTTGTAAGCTGAAAATAACAATTATAAGTTTAATATACTAAATTAATTAAATATGTTTCAAAAAGGTTTTTGTCTATTTAAATTTTTTATAAGTAATAGTAGATTTAAAATTTAGGTCACAACGACAACACAAAATTTAAAGACTTCTAGTGAACAATATCTAGTTTTTCTGGATTCAAACAGATTTTTTTTTCACTAATTGGAAGACAATTTTCCTAGAACTAAAAATAGAAATCGAAATTCAAACTACACTAACTAGTGCAATATTAGGAGCAATGGGATAACATAAGTCTTATATTTAAGATTTTTAATTTATTTAGCTGTCTCTTACGTATATTCGCTACCTTTTATTTCACTACTAACAACAAGAACACTGACGAACATTATAAGTTTGTATACAAAATGCTACATCAAAATGTGGTTCATAGTAGAAATCGATTGAAATCATTGTGATGTAATTTGATGAATCAGCAATCCACTTTTATTTTCGGAGAATAGGTGTTGTTAAAACCTTGTAGTGAAATATCTAGAACATATGTACACAGAAATAAACATCTATTTTGGATACATACCGTTTAAAATCCCTCATCAGGCGTCTTCTTGCTGGAGTTGACATTTTGATTTTCAATACCTAAGTTTTATCACAATGAGATTTTTCTACTTTTGAGTTGGAGTAACTTTGACACCGTTATTCAAAAACTATGTATTACGAACGTACGAATAAAGTGGACTTTTCTTTGTCGTTGTCTAAAAATTCCATAAAAATTCAATCGTCACGGGCACAGGGAAGGGTTTTGGCAATTGACCATGAAACTAGCAATTTATAACCTTGTTGGAAAGTAATTCTGGATGCCAGCATAAAAAAACATGTAGCCTGTATCTAACTTCATACAGCAGATTTTAGTTTCTTCTCAAGACCTACACACTAGCGATGTGAACCGATTACAATTTCTGGCTCCGGTTTATTACCGGTTTTTTTCTAAAAAAACCGTTTTTTTTTAGGTATTTTTAGGTTTTTTCCATAAAGGCTAAATAATCACTAAATTTACGTACAATCGAAGAGTTTTCTTCATACAATTAATTAGGTGAGCATATTTTATATGGGCTTTTAACGATCATATTAAATTATCCAATAATAAAAAGCTTTTTATTTTTGATCTAATACTATTGTATTAAATCAAAATTGTGATGCAAGAAGCATAGTTGGTCCACTGCGTCATCCAGAAGCCTGCTCCTACTAGATGTTAGCACGTACCCCGACGTCGAAAACAAACGTTCGGAAGGCACAGAAGTTGCTGGGACTGATAGGTATTTAAATACTATTTTGTTTAAAGGCCTTAAATGACTATTGCTCATCCAAAAAGTGCCAGCAATTTCGGTGTGGTTTCCTATGGCGGCTTCAGTCTCAATATACATTCGCACTATATTCACTGCGGCCGCCGTGGCGTTCGGAATAATGTAATGTACTGTTTTGTCAATGTAATGCACGGTAATTTGAATCTGAAACACGGTTTTTTTTAGGTAGCTTGTATATTTGATCTGGTAGCACTGGTATGAACTGTGAATATAACGCGTAATTAAAAACCGGTATTCTTAAATAAAAACCGGTGTTTATCGGTATGTATAAAAACCGGTTTTTCTCCGGTTTTCTTCGAACCGGCTTACATCCCTACTACACACCTCTTAGTAATCTGTGGTAGGTGGTAGAGTTCATCTCACGAAAGAAGTCCCACGGCGATAAATGAACTAAAATGACAGGTCGGCCATGTTTGTTGTTATCAGGTGCTGCTGTCAAGTACTGCTGTTGTGTTCGTTACCATTGCCTTTTTTATTCATTTTTCGTATTTAAACTAGTATTTACGATGCCTAAAGTTGTAAAAAGTGCTGGTCGAGAAATAATATTGAAGGCGAAGGATTTTGTGAAGCAAAACAGAAGAATCAGGGGGTTTTGATATCAATAAGCAATGTTCGTAAGAGAGTAGTGGCCATGACAGGTACTTAGTTGGGATACCAGTTATGTGATTTTTACCATTTTATTTCGGACTTTGTTTATGCTTTCGTACTTATTGTTAGATTAAAGTATTTTATTATTGTTTAAGATTTAGACATTTTGTTGGACGGTTAAATTTGAGGGGATTGGGTTCTGTAAGTGAGGGGCTATTTAAAAACACTGCTTCATGGTTAACATAATTATGAATATTTAATATAATATAATTAAATTGTAATATTTATATATAAAATTATTAATATTGCAAACTCATTACAATATTTTATTTTTATAAAACCCTAAGATGTTGCACTGTCCGTGTCTAGATGAGAATTCCTAGTCATAACTGAAGAGAAGACAATACTCTGTTTTAAACATTTAAATAAGCATTCTAATATTCGAAAACTGTTACTTCACATGTGACAAGTGTTGCCTGATTACATATTGAAACTCCAACACATTTCATTAAAGCCTATCAACACTATTGAAAATTCTGAAGTGCCTATTAAAAAAAAATTGCAGATGTGTCTGAAAAAACAGTTTCGAGGATAACGCAAGAAGGAAAAGTAGCGACTAGTAATTCGAAAAGGAATATCACACCAGAGAAGAGTCGCCCACGTGCAGAAAAAATTGATTTGGATGGATTCGATCCATGTGCTATTCTTCATAAAATTCACCAGCTTTATACGGTAAAAAAAAATAACTCCCTACTTTAAATAAATTACTCGCAGTGCTAATATAAAACATTGGGTTTGAAGGAAGCCGCGTCACGCTACAGAGAACACTGCAAAATATTTTTAAATAAATACAAACGATGCCAGTCAAAAAGGAAGTTATTAATGGAACGATACGATATAACTGCTTGGCGCGCAAAAGATGGTAAAAAATCGAACCGTCAAGACCGTGATGTTCTTGGATGAAACCTAAATCCATAATACATATGCCATGCCAAAGGTTGTTGGCAAAGTGCAGAAGAGTCAGGGCTATTCACTTCCGAGTCTGTTGGGAGTAAATGGATAATTGCTCATGCTGGATCTGAAAATGGTTTTGTTGAGAAAGCTCTATTAATACACAGCTAAACAAAGCGCCAACAATGGTAAATTTAAGAAGTGAAATGCAACAGTGGTTGCATGAAAAAAATATTAATTTTGAATTGCCCTGGATGAAAGTCGTATTGTTTTATCTAATTAAACAAAATAAAGGACAACCAACTTATGCCCTAGATGAACTTTTAAAAGCTACAACCACGAAATTCTAAGACTATTTCAATTTCAATTTAAGGTTCAACATTTTTTTCAAAATATAATTTAAATTATATTTTATTTACGGTGTTTTCTTTCTTTTGTGTATCATGACATAGCGAATTGTTCAATTTTATTTACTACCTGCTCCGTGCACTCCGTCCTCTAACTGCTGGCGACATTTCGTCGCAGGACTGCAGCGCTGCGTTTGCGGGACTTCTGTCGTGTGACGAACTTTAAATACATAATTGTTAATTTTTGGCCTAGAAGATTTTATGGTTCTGTAACAAGCCTTTTAGGCCATGTTATTGATATTACGTACAAGACTGCTGTATCTCTAATTTTTTTGCTAAGGGTCCGAATCATATCCTTAATAAACAAAAAATAGCAATAATTATAGACCAGGTACTATTTTTAAGAATGAAACACAGTTCAGAAAAAATCGATGTTTTAAAACGATACATCCATATCTATTAATTAAAATTTCGATGGAGTTCTCGAGTGGAGACCGCGTAGCGGAAGACGTAACGTGGGACGCCTCCGCACGGTGGCCGGCAAGAAGTGGATGAGGAGAGCCGCAGACCGGGCTCAGTGGTGTGGATTGGGAGAGACCTATGTACAGCAGTGGACGACTGTGGGCTGTTGATGATTATGATGAAATTTCGATGACAAATAAAATTATACAAATATAAACATCTTTTTTTATTTAAACGTATGAAATCTACGTGTGCACTTACGTTCTTAATAGAGCGCTTAAAATTTTTCAGCTTAGAACCTGGTATCAAGAAAGTTTCCCTCTCTAGTGCTTGTGATCCAGCAATCGATCACTTGGTCGACGTTGCTTTAAATTATCAAACAAATTGCAATTGAATTTTCCTTTGGCCTGAGTGCATGTGGTTTCCACAAATAATTTTAGAACTTTCTATTTTAATTTTATAATGAAAGGTAGTTCCTATGGAGGCTTAATGACTGTAGTCTGTGAAAATTCACAAATGAGAGCAAATGAAACAAAATCACTTGGTCTAGGATTATTAGGTTTCTCTATAAAGCTCATTGAATGCCCACCATTTTACTGGGACATGTGTTATTTAACATTCAAATCTTACAGTCCTGTTTTTATAGGTGAACCGTAGAAATCTGGCCCTTGAAGAATTCAACTCTTGAAGACCTCTAGATATAAGTCTCATACACAGCCTTAACTACAGAATATTATATAGCCATTATCGGAAATCTTCCTTGCGACACTATAACCAGGGGGTTATAGTGTTATAGTGTTATAGGGGTTATAGTGTTAGCTGTGGTCACGATAAGGGTATCGTGACCACAGCTAACTACACCTCTGTTCCTGACCCAGTTCACGGAGTAATGGGGCAATCAGCCATCGTCGATATTTTAGACACTTCTTGATCGATACACCTGATCCACTTTCGGTGCTGTTGGACTCAACACTAGCACCGGTTAAAACACAAGCCAATGTGCTTGTAGAAGATTTAGGCGTGACTTTTTTTCCTTCTTATGCTGATAGCCTTGAGAGGCTATTTCAGCATCTCCTTGACGTGTAGGTGAGCTCACGGGGCTTAAACCTAAGTGTTGCTAACACTGGCCCTAGCAAGAGTAGTGCTTCGCAGAATCTACCACCGGATCGGAAACGCGACCCACAGAAGATCCGGCGAGAAACTCAGCGGGCTGTGTCCTTCGATAGATTTACTCGCCGAGCCTTAGTCGCACGCGACGGGCTCGACGAAAACGATGACCGGTGCTTGGGGTACCTAAAAGCTACGTTAGTGGATGGGGAGAATCCGAAATGACGTGTTTTCTACGACGTCGACTGTTTACTATTCGGTCCGAAGGATCGGGAATCAAGGCGTTACACTTTGTCCATAGCATCAGCCTGCTCAGTTTCTCACTTGGTCTTCTCAGCGGGTTGAGAGTTTGATCTGGTAGTACAGTCATTCGTGACCAGCTACCGGAGCCGAAAGTTAATTAATTTAATCGACTTCATTCTTCCCATTTATGCCAAGAATTGAAGTCGAAAAATTATGGCGAGCTTAGGTATTCATTGTTTTTTATTTTTTAGGAAGGAATGATTGAAAGTCTTTTCGATTTCACCAGGACAGGTGGGCGAGGCCATCTTATTCATTTTATTCTATTTGCTAATGCCAAGAAAGTTATTAAAATCTCTTTTCATAAAGAATCGTAACGACCATTTGAATAAATTCTATTTGACGCATCCACTACACGACTAAGACGTAAACGAATATTATATTGCAAATTATTTATTCCTTTAAACAAAATTAAATAATCTTTTTGTAATTGAGTCTAATTAAAATACAAAATACATCATTGTAAACAAGTTAAGCGCAACAAGGAATTAATTCTAACTAATGGCTCAAGAGGACGACGAAGAGGTATTTTAGTAAAATATGAATACCTAGCTATGTTATTAACTTGACCACAACTGCAGTGTTTTATTGTTGTGCAAAAAAAAAATCACTAGTTTGTCAGGGGCTATTAAAATACAATTTTTAAGAGAACCTAATGTCCCAAACTGCTTGAGCAGTAGCAGTCACGTTATGATATAAATGGATTTCTTTTTGTTACCACATACGCCAAAGAGCATTCGAGTTCCATCTACCTATCTGTGGCTATTCATTCTATAAATGTTTCAAGACTGAATTCCGGTAAAAATACTTTACATAATGCGAAAGACACGTTTTAACAGTTCCTAGTCTGAATTTACAGTTCAAAAAACATTGTTGTTGGAAAAAATTGCTACTGTAAGGCGAGCTCATGGTTTACCTGTTGTTCAGTGGTTTTTGAAGTTAATAAGACACCGCAAAGTGAATGCTGTCGCTCCCGTAAAATTCGTAGTATTCGTAGTATTAAAATGCCAGCTTAAGAATGTATTTGTTTTATAAAAAAAAACAGTAAACTGACTACAAAGACACCGTTTTACATAAATTCAGGATTTAACATTTAACGTCGATGAAGTGCAACAGATAGTAAGAGACAATGTAGAGTTGTGTTTGGGCGGGAACGCTTATAGTCACTCAAGAACGCCACAGTGGATAACTATAATCACAGAGAAGACCTTAGCTCGATTGAATAAATTAAACAAGCCTTACAAATATATCAGTAAGTCTTAGTATCGATTTTTGTTGACAAATAATTTTAACAGTATACATTCTACAAATGTTCTAAAGCTTAGCTTAGCTTTGTTAACCGACTTCAAAAAAGGAGGAGTTTCTCAATTCGCTTGTTTTTTTTATGTTTGTTTACTCATAACTTTTGACTGGGTGAATCGATTTTGATGATTCTTTTTTTATTAGAAAGCTGACGCACCCCGTCCCATTTCAATTTAATCCAGTTCTGATAATGGGATCCATGAGAAAACCTTAAAAGTCTTAAGTTTGCATTAAGTAGGTACGTGCGCGACAAAATATAGATGAATAACTCGATATTACGCCAACCGATTTCGATGATGATTGTTTTTAGTGTATATTAATTTGTTTTGAAATATCTTATTTTTCTATTTGAAGTCGGTTTTTGTTAAATCATGTCTATTTACAATTATTATTAACCAAGTTTTATCAAGAGCATTTTTTTAACAGAAAAAATTGTTTTGTATTCAAACAAATTGGTTAAGGGTAATTAAGCTCCTTGCACTAGGATATCGTATTATGAGGGAACTAATCTGAGGAACCAATAGTATGTTCAATATCAAACAATAAATAGCAGTTAGCAGTAGGCAGTGGCTTGGCTCTGCCCCTGGCATTGCTGTCCATGTGCGACGGTAACCATTTACCATCAGGTGGGCTCAGGTATGCTCGTCTGCCTGCTCTATGTTACATGTCCAAAATAAAATAGCGGATTTGTAGATATAAAAACAATCGACAGCGCCGTGGCTGTCGCTTGGATTGTTGATGTCTATGAGAGACGGTAAAAATTCACCATCACTTACCAACAGGTCGATTGTACACACGTTTACTATCAAAGGTGTGTAATAAATAAACTGACTGAAACGACACAATACATATGTGATATGAGGTAAGCTATTGCTAAATAAGCAACCGCTATGTATACTTAGATTTTCTAAATTAAATAATCTAACACCCCTAAAAAAAAAAATTCCAACTTTTTTGAAAGACGAAGATGTGCCAAAAACGGCAATTTAGGAGAGTGATGGGAGAGATATGTAAAAATAATAAGAATATGTACATATAAGACTCAATTTTCTATTTTATACTAAATTATTTTCTTACTTTTAATCATAATAAAAAATTTAAATATTACTACCACAGATACAATGACACTAAAAATCATGATGTTAAGCCCCCCTTACCCTTAATTCCAATAAAAACAATTAAGAACTTATATTAATTTTGCTAGTGAGAATTACCATAACTCAGAAGAATGGTTCCGGTTTGCATACAGCCGCTGCGTACTACTGGGACATCGCTACAGATGGCACGTGCACAGTGCGTTGGGAAAATAAGTATATGTATTGCATTGTGAATATATGGGCGCTTGCTCTTCAAATATAGAAACCCACGGCGAATAACGTTATTTTTAATGTATGATGAGACGACTAGGTGTTCGAAATGTTTCGCAGAAGCAGTATACCCAGCTTAAATAAAACAATTTGGTAAAGCACATTTTAGTATTTTTATTTTTGGTAAAATTTACCACAATACAAAATAATGATACAAATAAATAAAGTAATAAAATGTATAGACAGGTCATAGAGTAATCCATTGTAAAATTGGTGCTTTTAAAGCAACTTCATATAATTTATAATAATATTAGGCAAAATGGCATTGTGTACATTAAAATAGAAGCATTATTTATAACACAAATAATATCAAGAGCAGATGATTTGCAAAATAATAATAATAATAATAACGCAAATTGATTCATCACTTGGTGACTTAGTCTTTTGTTTTTTTTTATGAGACTAACAAAATGCATAATGTACTTAAAGCATTTTCCGTGTCTATCAAATAATTCACTTAAGCCATTCGTAAAAATAAACTTAAATTCCTTTCCTAAAATCCTTTTCTGCGACATTACGAATCATCTCATTACGAATAAAGATCACACGAGAACAGGAAAAATAAACTGGTGTTAAATATGACAAAAATATTCAAATACATTTATAATAGCCATTCTTATTTTTAAATTAAATAAAACTGTACTTGAAAAGAGATGTAAGCTTGTACCTTCCACTAAAATTCTTGATTATTATTAGATGATTTTGATAAAAGCGCACGAGTCCAACGTTATGCTCAATAACTTAATTATTAAAAGTATTCAATAACACCTTGATAAAATTTTAATGATGTGTTTTTAAACTATGTTCTCTACACATACTGACAGCTATAAATAAATCGATCGACGTTTTGTATCACGAAATCACAACTACTACACTACTACTTTTAGATAATAGCGAATTAAAATAATAAAAACATTCGATCAGTATTCAAATAAATAATTTTGGACTCAAACGCTACGCAGTTTGATCAATGTACATTGTTTTTAATCTACATTTTACGAAATAGTATATTCACATTATCTTACATTTCTTTACACGTCGCAATGCTTAGGCCGTATGCCTTTGGCTAACTGATTATGTTACTTCAATGATTTTTATGAACATGTTGCGTTAAAATCGTCACAAAGTAATTTTTATACAAATACTTCCCTATTAAAAAGATCACCATAAAAATGTATTTTGATAAAAAAGACAACAGTATTTGAGTATTGAAAACATTACGAATTGCTAAAAACTGCAAACAATTATTTATAAAAAAAAGTATATATGTACTAGTAAAATTTTAATTGATGGATATTCCTTCAAAAGTGTTGTTGTTGGTCATGTGATGTCCGTCACAAAATTAGTAAATTTGCATTTGAATATGAAGTCATTGCAATCTATCGCAGTATACTTAAGATTGTGTCATCAACGCTTTTGGTCACATGAACAGTCCAATAGTTTTGATTTAACACATCTGACTTCATAAAAATCCATTCTAGTTTTAAAATATTTCAGGGTTCTTTTAAAACATATCTATATGTTTTAATATATTGTATAGTTTAATCAAATGCCCAATTTATTAGTTTTTGAGTGAAATTGTATCTTGCAAATAAAATTTGTAGCTGTAAGAAACGCCAATGAATATTGATATTCGTACTTAATTAAAAGTTAATTTACAAAGAGTGCTAATATCGCTACTAAATTGGTTTCACTGGTATTTTACAAATATTTTACGATGTATTAATGCTATGAACTATCAAAAATATATAAAAGATACAAACCGATGTGACTACTGAATGTTATCTGATTCCTACGTGTTTGTATAAATGGCAAGGTACATTGGGAACAGTATTAGTGTTTTAAATAAAGCTTCACTAAAACTTACTATACATACAGGCATTATTGTTATAATGTACAAAAAATGTTTATTTTCAATGATCTGCAATTAGTTATGGGAAGAATAATGAATGGTGTTCTGACTTTAGTTTTTTTTTAACAGAAAATATCTACATCAATAAAATATATTGCAGCTGGAGCTTGAATATCAAACCAATGTAAGACAAAACAAAATTTAAACCTCTATTGTGAGTGATGTGTAATGACAATATAATTAAGACTTACAAACCAAAATAAGAATACAAATTAAAATAATATAAAACGCATTTTAAAGCAAAATAAATTTAGCTAATAACGCTTTTTTGTTAAGAAACAAATTCATGATTATAGACTTTCGTGTTTATTGAACGAAAACAAGATTAATTTCATAGTACACGTTTTATTTCATTGTACTGTCTTGATATATCTATATGTAAAAAGTGTTGTAAAAAGAGTAAAACAAATATTTATACGAATCTAATAGCATGCGTTAGCGCTGTATAAATTATATTAGATGCATAGTCGCGTTTGTGTCACTAATATCGTAAAACTATATTAAAAAGTGTAGGTGTTGTTTTTTTTTTAAAACTTTCAGATATAAATGTGATGACTGTAAGTTGCGCTGTGATGTAATACTCAGTCTATAACCTCGTAAACAAAATAGAATGCTAAACTGCTAAAACTGCCGATCGAAGTGACATGCACTAACTCAATAATGTAAAATTTATATATTTAGCTATAAAATAATCTGAGGAGGTGGAGAGAAGTTTTAAAGCTAAATGTGCAATATTTAACTGTACTAATAGGAAGTAAGTAATTAAATATGTTTTACAGTGTGAATAACGCCATATTAGGGTCCATTTTCTCACGAGCCCTCTGACAGGTCACGCGGGCCGCGCACTAGTACATTTATAATAAACACAGTAAAATATACTTTAAAAAGTACAACCTACTACTATGACTACAAATAAACGATTTGTCGTTTAAACTCTTATTATGCCATAATTCCTCTTATATACAATTTTTTCTATACAATACACATTAAAATAATTAAAAAGTAACATTGTACTTGAAACTTTGCTACCCTTTATCGATACACTACCATTATCCGTTTATTGACTAACTTACAAAGACTACACTTATTATATACACAAGTATGCGCTGTTAGTCGGGACTTAACTGATCACATGTGCAAGAAATAAGAACATAATGAGGAACAAATATACATTACCTACGCACTAACCGTTTTGATGCCCCAGGCATCGGGGCTGAGCGCATATCACATCCGAAGTGTAAACACTTAAGCCGATCGCGAACCAACGCTACATAACCAACAAACTATGTACAAAACGTATCAAAACCTATATAAAAATAATATACATTCAAGTAAAAAAAAAATATAAAATTCATTTTAAGCTCCAACAAAATAAAACACTGGGCAGATTCAATTAAGAGATCATATCAAGATTCATATTATGTAACATTTCCGTTGTATGTGAATTTCTTCAGTACTTAGATGTCAACAGGTGGGAGTAAACACGATATGTAAATTTGACTTATTGTCTTAAATACTTATTTACATGTAACGAATTGTGCTCGACCCAGTATTCATTGTCAAACGTTCCATTTTCCCACTATAATTCTAGCCTTAGAATTTTTCAGGAGATCCATCATCTAGCTGGCTCAAAGTTGTAAGGTTCTCATCATTAAAATTATTATTTAATGCCTAATCAGTATGTACTATATTTAATTATATTATGCTCCTTAACTAGCTGGGCCGTAGGGCTCGTAGCGACAGTATACACTGCACTGGTCCGTTGTCCTTTTCTCTGGGCAGAGTACGGTACTTCATATCAAACGCAACACTATAACTTGTCGATTTCACAAAACAAGTATAATTGACACAAACCAAACACACACTCAATATTCTCGGTATATTTTCAATTGAGATATTTGCGGCATTTCTTTGCGCCACAAGTGCATGGAATTTTCACTTCCTCGAAAGGAAACTTGTAGTCGTAGGTGAGTTCCTCTCCCACGGTGATGCGACGCAGAGCGAAGATCAGGATGTGTTTGTGACCGTGGATGTCAACTACCCTCGAATAACAGTTCGGCTAAAAGAGAATAAATCAATAAATAAAAGACATTAACAGTTTGAAAAAGGTATGAAAATTTAGTAAGGGGCTATCCATAAATTACGTCACACGAATTTTAGGACTTTTGAACCCCTCCCTCCGTCCTTGTCAGAGGTTGTCACATTTTTAGAAAACCCCACCCCGCTGATGTGATGTGACGTCACACATTTTTTCAATTTATGAATAAATTAGCGACCCGCCCTCGCTTCGTTTTGGAAGCTGTAATTTATTATTGATTTCTCCACTATTTAAGTTATTATACATATAAACCTTCCTCTTCAATCACTATCTATTAAAAAAACGGCATCAAAATTCGTTGCGTAGTTTTAAAGATTTAAGTATACATAGAGAAAGCGACTTTGTTTTATACTATGTAGTGATTTAAAAATAATCGCGAGAAAATAGCTATTTTCATTTATTTTTTTTTGACGACTTGTGGTATTTTATTATTAACAAAAAGTCAAATCAAAATAATTTAACATAACTCAAGCCACACAGTAGAACAGATCTTCCAATGCGCTTGAAGGAGGCACAGTCCCCAAGATACTGGCTACGTTGCCTCGTTGGACAGGCAGACTCACTCTGTTTTTTTATTTTTTTTTATTAAATAATCTAATAAAATCAAGATACTGTTCAATATTTCAGATAACCGAAAAAACAAACGACTAGTTCGAAAGCAATAAACCACTAATTTGAGTGTCTCACTTGCATTACGACGCCGCTCTAGAAGTTAAATGACGTTGCATCAGAGATAATTTCATAGCGAGAATGCTAAATTATTAATAACTATAGTTCAAGTTCGTAGATTTTTAAAGTAGTTTATTCACATCTAAATTTCGTGTTTTAATATTTTAAATTTTAAAATAATAATAATATGACGTCACAAAACTATTGACCCCCATGCCCCGTTGTCACACTATGTCACATTTCGGTGATACTCCCCTCCCCATCAACGTGTGACGTAATTTATGGATGACCCCTAAGTGTGTAACGATTGGATACAAACGTAACAACAGTTTATTGCGTAGATGGGTGGACGAGCTCACAGCCCACCTGGTGTTAAGTGGTTACTGGAGCCAATAGACATCTACAAAGTAAATGCCGCCACCCACCTTGAGATATGAGTTCTAAGATCTCAGTATTGTTACAACGGCTGCCCCATCCTTCAAACCGAAACGCATTGCTGCTTCACGGCAGAAATAGGCAGGGTGGTGGTACTCACCCGTGCTTATTCACAAGAGGTCCTACCACCAGCAATTACGCAAATTATAATTTTGCGGGTTTGATTTTTTAACACGATGTTATTCCCCTTCACTGTGTAAGTCGATCGTGACCATTAGTTAAGTACATATTTTCTAATGCTAAAACTCACGTCACAGGAGTGGTTGATAAATCTCGCTGCGTTTCCCTTGAGCGTGGCGTCGACCACGAGGTTGTCGTCGATGCGGAACATGTAGCAGCCGCCCACGCCGCGCCGCCCGCTCATCGCCTCGTAACGCTTCTCGCGCTGGTCCGCCAGCACGGCGCGGATCACTTCTCCCGCGTACTCGATCACCATATCACCTAGCCAAATGTTACAACAGCTTATAACAGACACAAATGCAAGGCGATTGTGAGATATCAAACCAATTCCTAAACGCATTCGACACCTCGTCTTTTCGCATTAAAACTGTACCATTTCCAAAAATATTCGAAATTGAATTAATATGCGGAATCATTTGGTATCACCAGTATTTTTCTCATGAATACTGTCCAAAGAGCGAATTTTAGTTTTAGTTTTTTTTTTTTAGTTTACCTATGTTTTGACTACTATTAAAAAAATTAATACATAATTTTCTCTTACTTTAAAAGACAGATAGTGTAACTGGTAAAAAAAATGTTGCAAAAATGATTTATATTAAAAATATCACATGTTAAGCCTTTAAAAAACTCTCCTGTAAAATTAGTAAGTTTTGAGATTATACAGTTTTAATGCGAGAAGACGACCTGTCATCCTAAAATGTAGCTATCTCGCTCTTTACTCAACTTCCTTCTTGTCTTTTCCTAAGTGTTCGGTTAAGTGTGCGCTCATATTAAATAATACTTATTAATTAATTAAGTGTTTTAATTCATATATGAAAGCGATGTGTGACAATCGACTATGAATCGGTACATTTCTGCCTCAACTACCTTGGTTTATCCATCTATGTTAATTGATAGTACATAGTTTCATCTTATTTTTCAATCTGAGGTTCCATCGAAAGTACTAGTCGTGAAGCAAGTCGAGTGCCTTCGTTATCTATTTTAGTCGCAAAAGCTGGAATATCACTTATTTATATACTCGATATTAATATTTTATATGGTCATCCTTTATGTATATATATACAACTTATATTTAGTAAGAATTTATTTTGAATGACACCACTTAGAAATAGTTTACATATTAATTACACTGATGCTTTATTGACGTTTCGGCTTCGTCGATTACAAAATAATAACACTGGAATACAACAAAAATAGCTAACCAGGTTTTACCAAGCTGTCTCAGTCAAATCCAACATCACTTGTATTTAATTACCGTAAATCTACCATAGAGATAAGTTATTCATTGCAGAATTTAGGTTCGGAATGTATTTTCCCAAACCTAAATTAAAATATTCCGAAAAAGCGAACAGTTATTCGTTGAATGGAAACTACCCTCAACATACCTTCTTCGATATCACGTTTGCAGAATAAGCCACGTCCGTGAATGTGCGACCTGTAGACGCCGACTGATATCTTAGAAGTTTCTTTCAGTTGTCTGAATCTCATCGCCGGCGGTAAAGTCGCTAAACGTCTGTGACAAACAAAATGTTCGCATTAAATCTTTGCGAGATTGAGAGTGGAACATATTTAGTGATCGTAATGAAACATTTACCTAGAAATCGAGCTCTCAGTCTCTTGACCACCAAACGGAGGCGGTTCCTCTCTGAAAGGTGAGGCCATCCAGCTGAACATGTCGTGATTAGGTTTCCTCGCTATGGGCCCTGTTCTAGCGCTTCCCCAGGGGCTCTCTTTGAATCCTTCACTAAGGTCTAAATCCGTATCCAAGCTATTCAATTGTCGCCCCTGTCGTGTTTTGTATTTGATGCAACGGCTTGCCTAGATAAATAAAAGAATGTTAATAATACTGCTTTTTCGTAATTAATCAATTTCAATTAATCAATTTATTTTTACAATACAAATTAATCAATTTCAAATTCAATTAATCAATTAATCGTTTTCATAATTATGAAAAACACGTTTCCACTTACCCCAGGCAGTTGTTCAACAAGATATCTTAGCGCATTATTGTTGAGTCCCAAAAGATGGGTTCCGGATGTGCTAGGTGGTAAATTATATTGTATAAGTGGTAGTCCCGACTGTTTTCTTGCATTTTGTACAGCTTCAATTACTTTTGCCCAAAGATCATTCAATGATGATGATGTATAATTAAATCCATCCTCTGAAGAGACTTCATAAATCAATTTGGGCCCATCATCTTTTGGAATATCCGGACCCGGCTTGGACACAGTAGGTTTATTTTCCTTAGAAAGCTTGCTGGGCTTCTTCGTCACTGTTTCATTTTCATTTTTCTTATCCGAGTGGTGTATAGGTCTCTTCAACAGCTTCGTTGTAGCGGTCGATAATTTCGTCGGTGCAGGCGCTTTATTTCTGTCCTTTTCTATCAATATTCTTGGTGGTTGAACTTCGATCATCTCTGCATCTAAGCTTGGTAATNGAGTAGGTTTATTTTCCTTAGAAAGCTTGCTGGGCTTCTTCGTCACTGTTTCATTTTCATTTTTCTTATCCGAGTGGTGTATAGGTCTCTTCAACAGCTTCGTTGTAGCGGTCGATAATTTCGTCGGTGCAGGCGCTTTATTTCTGTCCTTTTCTATCAATATTCTTGGTGGTTGAACTTCGATCATCTCTGCATCTAAGCTTGGTAATGAAGATTCCTTAGATTTAATTTCAGCTGGAGCATTTATTCTGATAGTCTCGTTCTCTGAAGCGGAGCTCGTGTTCGCTCTGTTCAGTTCGGTTGATAGCTGCATAGCTTGGGTGGCATCTCTTTCTTCTTTTTCTCTATTAGCCCTTTCAAGTTCCATCATTCGCTTGGATTCTTCAATGGCTTTTTCGAGGTCACTGTCAATTGTTTCGTCTTTTATATTTAGATCTGGCATATCATGACTAACTGGTCTCTGTTTTGGCACTGGTAAAGTTTTTGTCGAAGGTGACGATTTCGTAGCCGATTTGCTTTGACAGTCCCTGTGTAGTGGCAATACTCTGTTCATGGGTCGCATGGACATTGGATTCACAACATTTGTCGGTATACCGGATTGTTGAGTTGGCGGTGCTTTAGGTAAAGTGATACTGGAACTGTTCTGTGTTGGTAAATTTATAGTATTGTTCTGTACTGGAATGCAAATCATATTGTTTGTGGAATTTTGGTTTGGCAAAATATTCGCATTGTTTTGCAATGGAAAACTGATATCCGCAGCACCTTTTGAAGCTATTTTAGGGTCGACAAGGTTATTCTGTACGGTTATATTAACAGTGTTGTTACTAGAATTCACGTTGATGTTCATCGGGGCACTGTTTGGAATAGCTTGAAAAGGTACGTTTATTGTGGTTCCAGAACTTTCATTCTTCTGCTGGAATGATATCGGATCGTTTGCAATTCCGCTTACATTACCGTTGCTGTTATTTGTAACCACACGTATATTGTGCTGTTGTTGGACATGTTGCGAAATATTGCTGTCTATACTTGTATTGTTTAGTCTGTTGTTTCTCTCTGGTAAATTTATAATTCTGTTGTTTTGTGAATTCATCTGCATATATCCGATTTGATTATTTACGGAAATGTTGTGATTCGGCTTGTCGTTGTTGACGATATTAACTTTAGCACAATCATTGTTAGGAATATTAGGAATGGAGATATTATTATTTGTTGCTGAGCTCATCATATTTTTGCCTCTTAGTGGTTCCTGGGTGAATTTAGGTGGTTCCACCGGTAAATTGTTTCTGTTTAATTGACCCTCCATATTTGGTACATTTGGGTTTTGCGCATTATTAGCAGCCATACTACAATTATTCAGGTTCACTTGGGAATTGTTACTAATTTGGGTATTTAACGATTGGCTTGCATTATTTGTTGCATGAGTTTGAGGGCTGTTCATCATCATACTATGATTAGGTGTTCCAGACAACAGGCCAGCGACACTATGATCGGCGGCGTTGGTGCAATTCATCAACATATCGTGGCTATTTATATTGTTTTGAGCGCCCGTTGCAAACATATTGTTGCTGTTATTTATATTATTCAACATCATATTACTAGAAGACAAATTTGGATTATTTGCATTCATACCATGCAACATCGTACTTGAACCCATTGTCATATTGGGAGTGTTCATGTTGGAACAGATTTCCATTGAATTCTGATTTGCAGAGAAGAGAGAACTATTGCTAGAACAACTTCCACTGCATGAATTTTGAAGTTCTGTTTTAATATCCGGAATGTTAGGAACGTGCATCAATGAAGTATTCATAGATTGATGATTTACGTTATTCATTTGCATTGCATTACTTAGATTATTGTGCATGTTCATGTTATTCATAGAACTCATATTATTCATTTGGTGTTGCATGATTGATGAATGATCCATTGCACATCTATTGTTTTGAATTTGATTCATTACATTCATCCCTTGCATTGCCATTGCATTATTATCATTTCTGTTCCCGTGAATGTAAGGTAGTGAGCCAGAATTATCCATCTGATTTAAATTCATATTTGTTGTATTTCCTGGCATATGATGCATATGCATAGAAGTTTCAATTTGTTGTCTATTATGCATTTGATTTACATGTTGATGCAAATTTATCATATTGTTCTCATTGTGTTGGCGATTATTTTGCATTTGCATGACATTGGGCATTTGATGTTGATGATGCATGCCTGAACTGTCGATTTGTCTGTTTTGTTGCATATTCATCTGCTGGTTTACATGCATATTATTTTCCATCAAAGAACGACTATTGCTATTCATATGATGGTTTATTTGTTGCATGTTTTGCAATTGTGTATTATGCATGTTGTCCATCCCTCGATTGGAATGTATGGTGTGGTTATGGTTATTCAAATTGTGAGGTTGCATATTATCCATTAATATTCGATTATTTTGCATATTTGACATTGCTTGCTGCATTTGCATATGATTGTGATCATTTATTTCCGATCTGTTCGGATGTGCATTGCTGCTTAAATTGTGCATATTCATAGACTGGTTTATAAGATCATTATTGTCAGGAGTGTTACGGATGGACATCATGGTTTGGTTGTGATTTTGCTGGGAGCTCATCATGTTTTCATGGAAAGATCTTCCAGCGCTGTTTTGACTAATTTGTTGTTGTAGTTGATTATTAGTATCAATTTGACGATTGTGTTGAATTTGTCCATTCATGATGTGAATCTGATTGGATGATGACATTTGATTATTTTCATGAGAAACTATTTGCATATTTCCATGAGGCATATTAGATGTATTTGTGATTTCATGATTCAATTGCATGTTATCATTGGATGAAACAATATTCATTCTACTGTTTACAGCTTCCTGACAAGATAAGTTTATATTTTGAATAGAATTGTTTCCAGAGTTCAATAGCTGCACTTGTCCGTGAGAAGAACTTGTTGAAATCGAACACATTTGGTTTTGATTGTTGGAAGGAAGATTGTTTTGAGTACCTTGTGATTGTGGACGCATGACATTGTGAGGTATAATACTAATGGCAGGAGCATTGTTCATGCTGCCAGCCATCTGGCAACTGTTTAATTTGTGTATATTCATTTGACCCGACATGCAATCCATATTATGTTTGTTGTCATTTGTTCCCAAATTTTGGAAAGATTTTTCATTATTAGCATTATGTTGCGAGTGTGAAGCCATTATTTCTTGTGAGAAATTCAGATGACCTCCTTCAGTTTTCGAAAGAGCATTTATCTTACTCAATTTCAATGTCGTGTCAGCATCAAAAGTGCTCATACCTGATACAGGTGGATATATGTTTCCCGCTGCTATATGTATAACATTGTTCGACGAATGGGACTGATGGTGGCTCACATTGAGATTAGGCTCATACTGATGAGAGTGTGTATTGACATTTGATAAACCATTACCATTATTTGACATTGTCATAAGACAACTTTGATTTATTTTCTCATGTTCATTGTGTAAATGTGACCTTCCTGGCATATTATTGCTTTGTATGGTCATTGATGGTGTAATAATATTCGTTTTTCCTGTTCCTTGCATTTCTATCTTGTTTTCGGTATGAGCATTATTGGTTAACGTACTTATTTGTCTCCAAGGTGTTGGTGATTTAATACTCTGTGCCACACTTATAGTCGGTACATTGGACGAATTCGTATTGTCTTGCAAATTGCCACTAATTTCAATGACATGGGAGTTTTCTGTTTTAACATTGTTCTTATTTAAAGATGGTGCTATAGAGCTTGTGACTATAGGCTGTGACAGCGGTATAGGTTGCATTGAAAATGTTGTCGTAGAGTTTGGAGTCGATTGAGATATTGCCAGAACGGGCTGTCCAGTGGAAGAAACTAGAGTGACAGGAGACATCGACACGTTTTGTTTAGTCACATTGGCGGCTCGGTGAATATTATGCGAAGCGTTTGACAGCGTCATACTGTGAATCTGCGACGTTATCGGATTTATTGTCTGTCTCCCAGTCATTATTGAGTTAGGGCACGACTGCGATCCCATTGTTAAAGGTGAAGAACTCATATGGATTACTTTGGGTGTTTGACGGATGCTATTATTTAAAGCTTTCTCGGTTAATGGTTGCAGTGTAAGATTGGGAACGCTAGTTTTAACTGCCTTCATGGAAGCCGGAGAAGACTGAACCGATTGTGCCGTTACAACGTTAGGCGTCGACGATGAAACATTATCTCCGACATTGTTCACAACAACATAGCCTGTTGGTACTTCTACAATAGGTTCAATCTTACTGGCTTGGAACACTTGTGTAGTTGTTGCGGAAAAACTACTGTTTTGTGCGAGCACTCCTTGCATAGCAGTCGAAACAAATTGTTGAGATGACATTACTGTATTCTGCACAATCGTTTCTAAGCCATAATAGACAGGTTGCGTCGTAGTTAAATACATGCATCCAGATGAATCCGTCACCATTTCCAGTGTTGGTGTCGATCCGAGCAAAACTTGATCGTTGCAGAACTGAGGCAGAAGCGTACCTTGTGGTAGAATAGTTGCACCTGTCAAAGTATTACCTTGCGTTTGCAACGCATTAGGTATTATAGTGGTTTGGCCATTTCCAATTCCACTCTGCGGTACGACAGTAGCACCTGCCGTCTGCAATGTATTATTTGGGAGCAGCGTTGCGGTTTGCGTTGTAATATTCCCGGGGGCCAAACCTTGTAGTGTACCTTGTGGTATTAATGTTGCACCATTTTGGGTGTGAATCGTTTGAGGTAAAATTGTAGGTCCATTTGGTCCCTGCGAAATTATTCCTTGTGTCTGTATTGCTCCTTGAGGTAAGATAGTAGCTCCCTGCTGTATAGTTTGTGGCAAGATTCCGACGTTTCCTTGGGGCAGTAACACTGGTATTCCCCCACTAGGCACAGCAACTAATCCTCCAGATTCAGTCTGTTGTATTTGGAACGTTTGAGGTACAAGACCACCTTGTGATATAAACTGTGTCGGTCCTGTCTTAAAATCTCCCTGAGGTGCAATTGTGGCGATATATTGCATATTTTGATTTTGTTGTTGAGATAGTGCTTCAACATAGGCCGACATAATGTTCTGGTTGGCTACAGGTTGCACAATTATAGAAGGCTGACCTGTTTGATTGTTAGTTTGTAATTGAATCACTGTATTTCCGGGGCCGATGGGTGTCTGATTGATTGTCGTGAAAGTTTTTTCTAGTTTAGTGTGTCGTTTTACTGAAGCGGGTTTGGGTATCGGTCGACCTCTTGGCCTATTCGTTGTTTGAAAAATGGGTTTAGGCTGAACGGGAGTCGGTTGTTTCTTTGGAGATTTTTGGGTTCCAGGCATTAAAATCTGTTGCTTGTGTGTGTTTGGTGAAGCTAGTCTTTGTGCCGACACTGCAGGTACAACAATGGTTGGATTAGATGGCCGTATCATTGGTTGGATATTTTGAATAATAGAAGAATTTGGCATTCCTTGTATTGAATTAACAGGTAAAGCTATTGACGAAGCACTGGCCATGTTTGGGAAATTTGCCACTTGATTTTTACCCTGGATAATGGGAGTAATATTACCCTGTTGATTTGAAGGTATTGTAAGTACTTGGTTGGAATTCGATGATATAACTTGTATACCCCCTGATCCAGATAAAAGTTGTGTCATATCTGTACTTCCTTGAATTTGTTGTATGTTAGTGTTTCCTTGTTTAACACAAATATTGTATGGTAAAATTCCGGGCTGTGTAATAATTTGAGGTGTCATCATTTTTCCTGCCCCAGAATTCGATTTGTTGGGCAGCAGCATTTGAGGAGTAACAACGATTTGTGGCGATGGCATCATTTGCTGATTAGTGGACACTTGAACGTTAGTAGTCTTACTTTGATCAAATATTACAGTTCCAGATTTCATTTGCTCTGTAATTGTCATAGTCATTTCGTTTGAAGGTCCTGGAGATGGTGTTTCCACAATTGTTCCATTAATGGTAATTTGCCTCGTATTGATAGATGTTCTTCTGGCTGATATGCTTTCAGCTTTTACAGTGTTTTCTGAGCCACTGACAACTCCTGCATGAATAATCATTGGTTGTGCAAAAGCACCTTGAAAAGCATTTTGAAGGGTTGTTAATGTTCGATTTTCTGGCGATTTAGGATTTTCACTCTCACTTTCACTAGTTGACACCATGTCGCAAGATGGCACATGTCTGTCATAAGAATCTTTGTTTCTATAAGTGCATTGACATCTATCACATCGCACGGGTTGTTCCATTTGATTTATCGTCCCTGAAGGATCTTCAAACGATCTCATAACAAGCTCTGATTGCCCATTAACCGAATTCCCAGCAAATGTGACTGTGTAACTCTCTGTCCCACTGGCTCTATACATAAATTGATTTGTTTGACTTCTCTGTGTATCACCTGGAATATTATCTTCTGCGCCATCTAGTTGCTGAATAGGAGAAAAATCATTTTCTCGGGGGCTGCTTGGACGTGAACCACAGGAACTCTCAGATCCTGACCAATCTTCAGTACCATCTAGTTGTGCTATGGGACTACACTGTATCTTTGTATAGAAGTCTATTACATCTGCAAAGTACCCTTCGGTTTTATCATTTTTTACTGCCGTAGATTCTTCTTTTTCTTTAGTTTCACGGTAGTTTACACCAGACGTGTGAGGCACTTCATCGCATACATTATTGGAGCAACGATCTACTTTCGCTTTTTTTTCTTCCGACCTCGAATTAGTACTTTCGGCTTCCTTTGTTGCTACAGTTTGGTTTTCAACTACTATTCCTCCTCTTTGGGCAGGATTAAGTTTTTCTGTTACTGTAGATGCTTTTCCAATTTTACATCGTTTTATAGTAGATGACAATAAACTTGTATCAAATTTATTGTTCCAACTGCTTGATCTTTGTTGACCACGACCAGTTGTCAAATTTTTGAGGCCATGAGTTTGAAGCAGCATCTCAGATTTACTTCTTTTCAATTCTTTACTTCCTGATTCAAATCTTGCATTAAGTAATTCGTCAATGATATCAGTAGGACGCAAATCTGATTTATCATTACTTTTGTCTTCGGATTGTACAACTATACCGTAAAATTCATGTCTCAAGTCTTGAAATATATCTTGCATGGATATACCATCCAGTAAATCATGGTTCAAATCTTCGAAAATAGCATCTTTTACTTCAGGAGGTAATAAGTCGGCAGTATTTTGAGGTTCTTCATCATCCTGTTGTTCTTGTTTGCAAACATTATCTAATAAATGTTCAACCACTTGCTGTACTGCTAAATCCTCTAAGGTAACAGAATTTCCTTGTTTTGTTGGGGACTTATCGTTGGATAACATGAGTGCAGATTTACTGGACCCATTCTGCAAACTTTCATGCCATGATCCAATTTCAGCCATCATTCTGTCAACTGCATGAGTTTCCAAATTATGATCTACGGTTATATTAACTCCAAAGTCAAAACCAGGCAAAGGTTCTGCTAGTATCAATTTGGTTTTGATTGTGTATCTCACTATTTTCGTAGGTTTTTTACAAGACCAAAATAATCGGGTACAAGAAAAATCAACAGGGATTAAGAATTCTTCATAATCTGATACTGAAGGTACAATTTTTCCCAAAGTATTTACTGTTAGTGATCCAAGTATAAATTGAACTTTATTAATTTCACCATACCTTTTCTTTTTCTTGTCAAGCTCAACATAAACAGGTCTTGTTAGTTCAAAATCTGTGTCTTTTTGTAAACTTTTCTTAGGTACATCTTTCCCATGTGTAGGGCAAAACACTCTTTTATCATCCATAAAGGCACAAGTTTGTTTTCTTGCACAGGCATAGTGGTAGGTCTCACTACAATTTTTAGCGCAACAACCGACACTTGCACCTTTTGTTTCACATGCAGCACATTTAATCATTTTTCCTCTGGATATTGCTGAATGTACATTTTGCAAAGATCCATCTATTTCTTCAAACACTTCTGCTGACCATAAAGCACAATTAGCATGAATCCAATCATTCTGACCACAATAAAGCAAGCGTCCTTCCATTGACGGAGTAGCGTCACCGACCACTTTGCACAAGACACAAGTTCTAGAATCAAAAACTGGATAAAAGTCTATCAAATCTTCTTCTATTTTATTTTCATCGTTTTCAATTTTTGGAACTATCTGATCTTGGGGTCTTTCGATTGATTGTGCAGAAGCTTTAAGCCCTTTATTATCAGACATGTCATCATCTTTTAAGGATTCACTATCTTCCAGTTCACCCTCAACTTCCAAATTTGGTTGAAGACAATTGTTTTCACAGTCAAACCAGGGAAATGTTTCTGAGAATAAATCTTTGTAAATTTTCTTCAAGTCGTCATTTACTGTCCTGGTAATAACTTCCTTCATATCATGATTAAAATCTTTTAAAGAAACATATTCATCATTATTGACTCTTTTCTTTATGTCTAGTAAAGATGGTGACACCATCTTATTATTTTCAGTCATTTCAGCAACTATTGTATCATTAATTCTTACAATGGCTGGGCTCAAGTCTTGTTCACTTCGAGCTTGTGGGAAGCTCCTCACTGTCTCATCATCACAATATTTTTCAACATTAGGAGATGCTGGTAGCATTGTTGTTGCTTTGTCGTTTTGTTTCTGAGAAGGGTAATTTTCGTGTACTTCAACACAAGGGGCATCAAACTCTGTCTTGGTACCATAAAGACCTGTTGAAAAGCAGACCTCTTTATTCTGCATCAAGGGTTCCTGAAGATTTACAACTTTATGAGAAGTATGTGGAATGTCTTCCTTTTCCATATCGACATCAGCTAACAGCGATGAACAACGCCATACTTGCGACTCGGTTGTATCATCTTTGGTTTGTGCATTATTACGTTTTCCTCTAGAGCTGTTTCTGTAGACTTTAGTTTCAGTTGTTTTCAAAGAATCATCTTCGGATTCAAAGTGTAGTTTTCTGATAGCCTGTGGTGATGTAATGCGGTACGGTTTGTTAGCGATCGGCGTATTTTTGTGTGGTGTCAATTTTAGTAATGCACAAGCTTTTTTACTCTTGGCAAGTAGTTTGAGTAGATGTAAAAGTCGTCCTTTTAAATGTTCAGTAAGCATTTTCCTCCAAGGGGGATCATGAGGCATACATTTACAACAAATATACTCGATCGAGGGCGGAAGTGCGGAAAGAAGTTGGTACTCCTCTCCAGATAAACCTTCACAACTTGCATGTACCCAGCGGCCACACCAACCACATTCCATCATCTGAAATTATTTAGAGATTTTGTTTAAAACTGACATTATGTATAAAAATTCAAATAAAATAAATATCCATTCAAAATTACCTTGCTATCAAAATCATTATCTCTGTAACACGCTTGACAGAGTGGACAATAATTTCCTTTTTGTCTAAGTTTAAAGCATGGACCACAAAAAGGTAAACTACCAACAAACTTGCTCACGCGAGTACTTTCGCAACTTTTGCATTTCAGACACGCACTGCAGATCTGTAGAGACAAAAACGTTATTTTATTATACGGATAATTCTAAGATGTTCTTATATTCTCGTAAAGGCTTTTAAAAGCGGACGAACATGTCATGTCCTTATGATAAGTGGTCACCACTGCTGATGGACGTTAGCAATCTGATATAATACAGACTTATAGTGGATATCATTTCACTCCTACACTCAAACCACCTAGGGAAAGGTTTCTCATTGAGTTGGGATATTTTTAATTTAAGCATGCTCATAACCACCCGTCACTACCACAAAGTAGTACATACTCCAGTTTGAAATGTGGGAAATCCTTACAGTACAATACAATTGAGACTACGTTCTCATGTCTCGAGGCGAGTGGCGACATTCGCATTGTGACGGTTATCTGGAAAATATTTAATTTTATGACCAGGTTGGTTGTGAGAGCAACTACTCCTCTAAACCAATAAAATATTTTTGTATTCTACTTCGCTAAAAATATGATAAATGCAATGACCTGTGGCCAGTCACTACGATGGTCCGGAGGTGCAGCGGGCAGACAAATTGCATGATGTGGCGCAGCGCACAGACGACATCGTAAACGGGCGGCGGCGCGCTCGCACACGGCACAGCACGCACAGCGCGCGCACCGCCAGCCGCGCCCGCCGCTCGCGTCCTCCGCGCACCATGTGTGGTACCACTCGCAACAGCTCGAGCACACTACCATCTGCTTTGAAAAAAAAAAACATAGAAATTTTAAACTATTGTGTTTTATTCATTTCTACATCCATTACTTTTCCTTTAGAAGAACTGCTGAATTAAAACCATGTCAATTTTATATTTTTCAGGTTATTCAAAACTCATTCAAAAGTTAGGCTTGCTGAAAGCTTTAATTTGTGTTAGCTTTGGTATGGTGAACCAATGAAAAAATACAATACTGATTAGGTTTCAGTATAAACAACAAGACTTTAGATTCAACACACATTTTTGTATTTTAGATAGCTGTACACTAAACTTTAAAAGACAGTGGCTGGTTTTCTGGAGACTTACTTTTTCTTGGCCAGCACTTCCGCATAAGAAACACAATTTGGCAACAGTGAATGGTAAAGTGCCGATGAGACCAAATCCAGAATTGCATACTTCATCAGGGTCGTAACTCTCCCAAAAATCGACACATATTAATTCTGGTCGATTTTGTCCACATTTCTGTGTGCGCCCGCGGACCTATAAAGCGCAATTCAAGATTAATTAGCAATGTTAATCATTAATAATTTTTTAATTATACTTATTTTTCAGGTAAATATAAATATTTTACTAGTTAATACTTGTTGTACCATTTTCTGTTAATCTCTCTTTTCCAAATTGTAACACCCGAAAATTAAAATTTTATTTCATGTATTCACGAATTACCTCCACATTTAAGGAATAATGTCATGTACTTAAAAGGTAAATAAAATCATCTGGTCATAGGGCATGTTGAGAGTGTACTGCATGCTATGTAATATCAATATCTGGTCTACTTCTCTCGTCATCAGTTGAACTAAATGCTTGTTTAACTTCATACACAATAAAGAATCAGATCAGCTGTTATGACATACAATTAAGACTCCAACCTCATGTCCTTAAGATTGAGTACTATAATCAGATAGTGACTTCTGCACACTCTCATAATTATTTAATATCAGGTACTTTTTTACTGGTGGCAGGACCTCTTGTGACTCCGCACGGGTAGATACCACCCTGCCTATTTCTGCCGTGAAGCAGTAATGCGTTTCGGTTTGAAGGGTGGGGCAGCCGTTGTAACTATACTTGAGACCTTAGAATTTATATTTCAAGGTGGGTGGCGCATTTACGTTGTAGATATCTATGGGTTCCAGTAACAACTAAACCCCACGTGGGCCGTGAATTCGTCCAACCATCTAATAAAAAAAAAGCTACACTGTGAGGACACAGATTACAGATTGATCTACTGCGAACCATATTTGCTAAACAAAATTAGTCCACATCACTATTAAACAATCATCTTACATTAGTGATGTTGGATAAAGGTTTCTGTATAGTTTTCTTGGGTATGAGGTCCATTACAGTTTCATCCTCACTGGATTCTGCTTTACCCTGTTTAGCCAGCAATGGATCAACTTTTCTTTTCTTTGGTTCTACAGGGGATTCCTCTGCATCCTTTACTGAAACCGCTTCAAGTATTATCTGTGGTACTTTGTTCTCCAGATCTACCTCAGATTCTTCACTTGATAAATCAGGTGCTTCAATATCTTTATCAATGGTAGAGACAGTATTATCTTCTTCAGTGATAACTTTGTCATTTTTGTCTTTTTCTTCCATAGTAGGAAAAGTAGCAATAGGCTGTCCCAAAACAATGGATGCACTTCGACAGACATGCTTAACTCTTGGACCTTTGAGTTCCATTTTTTGCCTCTTAGGGTCTTCAATTTGTTTGGCCTCTGATTTATCTTTTTTCCTAACTTTTATCCTTGTTAATTGGCGCTTCCTACTGGCACAAAAATCTTCATTGTTTTCTTCTGTATTTGATTGTTCCTTTAAAACCTTCTCCTGAAAGCAAATTTGAACACAAGTCACATTATTGGCGTATACATCATTTATAATCTCCCCATATTTCATCAGTATGAACACTGTGCAGTGGGATGATTCGAAAACTTTTTACAATATTTCAATCAAATTCATCTCAAACAAAAGGGTCCTCATGTGCAATGGTTTAAAATTTAATATAAAATTGGATTAGTTCATTCTATATAAAGAGAAAATACAGAAATGATGTATATTTAATAAACAATGACATATTTTTAAGAAATATGAATTAATTAAATGTAAACAAACCTCAACTTTTTCTGGCTCATCTACTATTTTCTTGGTTGACTTCAAAGTACCAAATATGTTTGTTTCATTGTCATTCGCACTTAACCCAAAAACAGGCTGACTGGTTACAGCAGCGTTTGTAGTAGGCACTCTTAGCGGATTCGCTGGTGATAAAGGAGTAGGCTTAACACTTGGCCTCATGTTAGGTGGCAACATAGCAGTAAGGCTAGCTCTAATGCTGGGTGGTACTTGAAAAGCCTTTAAGCACATTTTCAGCCAACACGCAGGACATCTAGTTTTATTTGTACATCGTAATAACTTCCACTGTTGTGATCTAACTATTGGTGGCACATGACAATTTCCTGTAAATTATTTTAAGAACTATTACAAAAATCACAAAAAAAAGGAGTTTTAACAGTTCTGTTGCTACTAAAAAGACATCTATTCTGCTTTTAGTCAAATTAACTGAAACAAGAATAAATTTTTATTTTTATTTTATTTATTACATTTTAATTTTATCTAATTCATACCTTCTCCTTTTAGGCAGTGCATTGAGACAGGACCCATTCTATGAGCCATTTTATCTCTTTTCAAGAGTTTTGTGATAAATTTGCGACAAGATTCACATGAATAAATTCCAAATTTTCTGGCTTGTTTCACAAATCTGTAAAACCTCACAGCTCCACAAACTCCACAAGTTACAGTTGTTGGTGGATTGTTTGCTGAAATAGAAATACAGTTTAATAAAATAACTTTCAGGTGGTTCATAGGTTGTACTGCTATTCATTAATTAACTTACATGAGGCTGATGTGAGCATCGAGAAAGGACCATCTAATCCAGAAGTTGTTTGAGCGGGAGAATTAAGTTGTAATCTAGCCTCCCTTATTATAACTTTTCCACTTAGTAACTGAGAAGCTGATTTGTCTTTATCTGGACTTGGTAAAATTGGTTTATCTAATTCTTCTCCACTTCCCTCAGCACTATCACTCTCCCAACTCTCTTCAGATTCAGAACCACTACTGGTGCTGCTTGAGCTACTTGCATCAGATATGTCCATTAATTTTCTCATAGCATGCCCAGACCTATCATCCTTGGCTGATTCAGTTGTTTTCATCTTTTCTGAACATTCTACATTGGAATTCTCATCTTGATGTTCGCGTTCCTTATCATAAGAAAACAGATCATGAACTCCTTTTCGTGAACCACTATTAAGAGATAAAAAGGAGTTTGTTGTTTTGTCTTTGAATAAACTAGAAGTTTTAAGAACAGATTTTTCCTTATTTTTTTCTGCTTCAATAATTTTATTGATTTCATCTTCATCTGGAGTTTCATCATCGTCATTATGTATATTATTGAAAACCAATCTCTTTAGCTTTGGTTTCTTAAGAACCTTTCCTGAAGATATTATACTTGTTATTGCTGTTGGCTCCTCACCATCTATAAACCTTTTATTGGGTTTAATAACACGAGATGAATGGGCACTTCTCACAGGCAATACAAATTTTGTTGTTGTTCCATTATCTCTTTCAACAGGTGATGAATTTCTTGGTGGTGGTGAAATACAACGGTTCTCACTCAGCTGTGAAAATTTATTCATAGGTTTTGACAAAGGATTCAAATTTTTTCTTAAATACCCTTCTTGATGTTCTGATGAAGACTTAGAGCTCAAATCAGTAAGTTTCGCGGGTTTAAGTATACTGTTGAATGTTGAATATTCAGTTTGTTTCAATAAAGATTTTTTCTTTATAATAGGGACAAGAGGAGCATGATGTTTTGAAGGAAGCTTTTTTAGGGGAAAAAATATATCTTCACAGCTTTCAACAGTACCAAAGGTTACTGTTTTCTTTACAGGTTTATCAGCTTTTGTGGCCTCCATTTTATTTTGCGACCGGGTACGCACAGGAGACTTTGATGTATGGATACTTTTAGAGTCTTGTTTTTTGTTTGGTTGACTTAATTCGTTTTCAGTGGCTTCAATTTCATTTTTGACTTCATTGTTTGCTTCTTTCTTTTCTTCTTCCTAAAATAAGAAAATAAGACATTACTAATGAACACATAGTATAAAACAATTACTTAATATTATATTGTTTTATTTTCTTTATCTAAGAGTATATTTGTAATATGTGTTTAATATACATAATTTTTCCAATGTAATGAATGTAGTTTATAGCATAAAAAAGTAATATGTAAAGTACCTAGTAACAATTTTAAATCTTAAAATAAGGTGAAAAGACTTTTAGAAAGCCTCACTATCAGAATCAAGCAGACAATAGCATTGAACCAGGCCATAAATTTCTTTATGAAAATAAAATAAAAATCCATAAATCTCAAACAAAGTGAACACAAAACTGAACTAATCCAATATACAACTTTATAGCAAGTAGCTTAGTGAGAGGCTGGGAATAAACTGCTATAGATATTGAGGAGAGTCACCAATAACAAATTGTTGTCTATTGAATTCATACATCACTGTATGGTATATTTATACCAATATTATAATATTCACCACTTTTATTAATTATACTGGAAAGACAACTATTATCCCTGGCTCTTGAAAAAGATGTTGTTAACATTTGAGGACACAAAAGTAAAAGCAATAGACAGAAACACACCTAAAATTATTACTTCTAACCAGAGCCTGTCTAGTCGTCAAATAAATTAGCAATTGTTGTGCACACTCGCCTGAATCACTAGTATATCATACATATAGTAATACTAAAAAATCAATCAAATCAAATCAAAGCAATCATTCAAAAGTGACAACCTAATTTATCAACATGTTTAGAAGAGTAGCAGTATATATAGATTTTGAGCTTCCATACTATATATTTTACTAAAAACATTACATCATTCTGCAAAAGTTAATGTTGCAAGCTGCAAAGTTAATGTTGAAATGAAGAATTCCAAGTTCAACACTCCTTACTTAAATTCTTCTCCTGTGTTTATGGGTGTTAGAATAAACACAACTAAGGCAAGAACACCAAGGTGCCGAATGCCATTTGTATTAGGAAAGATTCTAATTCTAACATTTCTAACCTAGATAATAAACACATATGTGAACTGGATTAGCACCATTCTAAACAATCGTTTATTAACGTTTATTAAAGCTCCCTTTAGATTTAGTTTGAGCCAAACATGCTCCAACGGAAAATTCAAATTCAATTCAAATCAAATTATATCTGAAAATTCTAGGTGAGAGTTTTTCTTTAAAAGAAATAAGACTATATTAGATAATATACAACAACCTCTCCATATATAGACTCATGACTCAAAAATATCAACAGACAGTGTATTCTTGGGATATGTTGATATACTAGGCACTGACTTAATTGGATTATTTTGATGGACATACATGAAAAACACTATAAAATCCCTGAGGATGTTAGTTTCATATTCTCAGCTGGATATGTTCCTCTTTTCTAGGAAAACCAAACATATAGGGTAGAAGATTTTACTGCATGGTGTGAAACAAATATACCTAAAGACCACACAATAAAAAGAATCAAAATTTTATGATCTTACGAGCTAACGAAAAGTGCATGCATGGTTAGTTTATATCCTGTTGAAGTGGAATACCTCTTCCAGCAAAATCTCTCTATGACTAAAAGACCTTGACATGTCAAGAATTACTAGAAATTCTATACTTGAATGAACATCTTAAGGTACGCTAGTAGATACTTATCAATTTTGGGTAGGCAGGCAAGTAGAGAAATGCAGAAAACAGAGGTGAGAATATTGGGCATTGATAGGGTCCCTTAAACCTACACCAGGGTCAAAATTCCTCTCTCAGTAATAATATGAATCCAAAATTTAACTGGCAAAGTCTACAAGTAATAAAACAAAAAATTCATTAGTGGACTCGTAGTGTCACAAGCAAGAGTTGTCTTAACTTAAATTACAACATGACTAATACATCAAATATTCATCACTACACTACAAAAGTTCATTGGCAAGAGTTATTTGATAGTAATTTTTACAGAAAAGCTGTGATTTATTGACCCATCAAAGCAACAAAAAACAAATACCATTAAATACACAGGGGACCTAAGTTTCGTTATATTATGCAATGATGAGAAACAGGATCACACACAATTAAACTTGCGAAAGAATAAATTTCAAGTTGTATCTGCTGTACCAAAATCATTATTAAAACTTTATAAAACGTATGTAAGACCATTGTTGAAGTATGCATTTGGAATATGGAACCCCTGGTTTAAGAAAAACTCAAAGTTTGACCATTTAGAGAAAGTTTAGAGAAAAATGATAAAGATTTTTAGAACATAAAGATATTTTACCCTGTAGTGATTGGTAGCCCTTTGCCTCACATCTCTTGTGAACAGAGAGAAAAGTGTTATTGAAACATATAAAGATACTGATTTGTTGAAACCAGGTTCCTAGTATTGAGAATCTGTTCACCCACAATAAGAATCAACGTCTACAAGGACGTTCATGAAAACTAAGCTGGCGCATCATAACAGAGCCCTTTGAAGCATTTTTACCAAACTGTAATTACAGAATGAAAGTGGCTGCCTCAAGGTGTTGTATCAACAGCAGTATTGAACTGCTTTAAAAACAGACTTAACAGATTCTCCAAATATCAAAATGTGAACCTATTAAGCTGTTCATCTGTTTAAAATATAATAATCAATTTCAAATTTTGTAAGGAACAGTATAATATTTGAGAAGATTACCAAGAAATGTTTTAGCAGTAAAACATTTCTTGCTAATCTGTGAATTATAGTATTATATTATAGTAGAATGTTATAAATCTACACACTCTAACTCCTTGATTTTATTTTAATAATGTTACTGACAAAATTCTGAATTGCAAAATATATTATTTGTATAATAAATAGATAGAACTAGGAGATGAAACATTCTCCCTCCTTTGTTACCATTTCTGGCCTACCATCAACCTTAATCAGTTCCAATTGCAAATTTGCTAGTTATTTTTATAAAACTACATAAACTCATTTAAAAGTAATAATAAAAATTGATTTATGTTATAGTTTTGAGTTTTACATTTACTAGATACTATGTTTCTCTATGAGGAGACACAATAGTGAGGTTATGTTGTAGAGTTTGCCTCTATTTACAAATTTTAATTTCATACTGCAGTCTTGGTCTAAACAATCTCAAAATTATCAACACGTTTCAGCCATAACAGTTTTGTTGGTAAGTAGAGTATTGAAATGTCAATCCAACATACTTTACTTTATGGGCGATTAAGCAAAACATTTATTGCTTGTCGATATTACGTAAACACAACATATCCGGGTATTAAAATTATGAAAAAAAGAGTATTTATAATAAACGCTTATGTTGTGAACAATGAATTTTACCTCTTGTTCCCCAGCAAAATCATTAGCAGCAACGCTGCGGGCTGGCGGGCCCTCTGCAGCAGTCTCATGATAAACAGTCCCAGATAAAACACTGATACGCTTTCTGTTTTGAAATTTGAGTGGCTTTCCAGGGAATCTCGACCTTCCCATTTTGATGTGAATGTAACCGAAGGACATTTAGTGCGTTCCTGGCAATTGCGAGGAAAGAGGCGCGCATGCTCGGGCCCGCGCGCTCCGCAACGCCATTTCACTCATTTATGCAATGTATATTTTACAAATTACTTAGCAGTTTTAATCACAAACACTTTCAAACATAAACACAGAAATCACCCTTTTTATTTTTCACTAAAACTGTCATTATTGATTGTCTTTGCGCAAAACACATCATTCATCATTTTAATGGTGGACTGGTTGTTAACGCCGTCGTATAAAACGAGCTTCCATTCATCGAAGCGTCGGCTGCTAGTGAAACAAAAGAGAACTTATAGAACGTTACGGATTACGGTGAATTTGATTTCACGATACACAATGATACACTCAATTAATTCAACTGCGTTTTGTGACATTAGGTATTTTATCATACAATTAAATAAAATTGATTCGTAGTAGATTGACAAAGATGGCTGATCGTCGCGGTTTTAACAATAGCGAACGCGAGTGATTAACGAGACGAGGCGCGAGGCCGCGGTGTGAACGACACCTGGCTCTCGGAGGCCAGTTATGGATTTTGAACCAATAGCGACGTTAATTCGGACCGGTATGAAAACAAACATGTCGCTTACTACTACACAGTACACACCAATAGATATAAAAGAAACACACTTGCGCACAAATGAATATAATGAACAAGGCTCATCTCAAGTCACGCACTGTTTCTTTTATTTTAAACTAAATTTTTTATTGAATCAAAATAATTTACATGTATGCATTCTTTATAGTTTATTTTCATCGTTTTAATTATTTGGGTGCATTTTACCTACATTAAAGTGTGAACAAAGTCTGGAATCTAGATTATTATTTTTGGGAATTTCTTTAAACTTCTATGCTAGAAGTTGCATAGCAAGTAATGTAATCAGTATGTCTATAAGTGACACTGTCTGTTACGTTTTTACAACTAAACCACAAAGGAGATTGGGTGGAATTCTGTATCGCAATAGTTTGAGGCTTGTGAAAGAATATAGGCTATCATTCATCCCACTGCTGAGCACGGGTTTCCGTCCGTGTTTAACTGTATTGTCTATAATTGTGATAATAACCCACGCCATATAAAGTGTAGTCCACGCAAGCGAAGCTACGGGCTGAGCTAGTTTAGATTAAATACGTTCCGGGTGCAACTGTTAGTAGGTACTTACATTAATCATTCTCTTAACTAAAGGGAATAATGTACTACCGACTACCACTACCACTAAACTCTTAAACTTCAACATAAGCTTTATAATGTTATTAATTAGTTAGGTAATCAATTATTTGTTCATATTTCATAAACCTCTAAAATAAAGCGAGCAGCCGATGACGGAGTTTTTGCGTGACAAAAAAATAAAAATCACCGATCTGGGAACAGGTACACGTACCTAAACGTTACCTTCATTATTTGTAACCTTTTTTTTGTAAATTTATTTAAAGTAGGTATAATTAGAATTGTATGGGCGTAATATAGATTTGCTAAGTTATTAAGTATGAGTATTAAGATCATAATAATTTTAGTCATCATCTGCCTGCTATTAGGTAATCAGAAGTTATCTTTTTTTTTCCTTTACATGGACGGACGAGTTCATGGCCCACCTTATTAATTTGTTTTGTTCCTTTATTGTGTAGATGATATTAACAGCGGACATCGAAGCTAATAGACATCACAACCCATCCCGAGGTTGAAGTCTGAATAGTACTGTGTAACCCTTATCCTATCCTTTAAGCCGGACTGCATAATTGATTCCCGTCAAAAATAGACAGGATTATGATCCCCGCCCGTGTGGATTCTGCATACCCCCTACCGTGAATATGTTAGCGAAATGTTAGTTTTAAACTCGCGGATCGCTAATGAACCACTCTGATGGATGAGTTCCAGGATGGTTGTATTCTAGGCGGACAAGATGCAGTGATCCGTCACGGGTGTATGCCGCGTGTTGTACATGCCAGTATCCTGCCGGTTGCTGCTGTGTGTAAAATATAATCTTTCTCTTCGATGGTCAATAATCTATAATCTTTAATACAATATAAGTATGTGCCCATTCTCCAATACAAGGTATGACAGAAATTTATACCGTAAATTGAATGTTTCTATCGATTTCTTTAGCTGGCTTAAAAAAGGCAAAGATAGTCCTTAATTGATGCTGCATATTTTATCTATCGATTATCGCCAACTATACCATATTTCATTTTTAAACAGTTATAATTTATAGTAATGAGGGAAATATTCAGAAAATGATGCCGTCAATTTTTATACAGATTTTTTGAGTTCTAATGAAATTTTACATGATCATTCTCTTTCAAATAATTATAAAAACTTGAATTGTGTATACATTTTGAATATTTAACTTTACTAATAAGTGGGAACCCCATTATGAAAGCTTACATCGTACGCACACTAGAATAAAAAATGATTTTAGTACGTGCACCCTACTCTTCACAATGAACCCCAAAACTCTACCGGTCGATCATGCGTAAAGGGCGTACAAGGGATGGTTGAGAGGGAAGGACGCCGTATTAACTTTACAACATATCTATAAACATGAATAAGATTTGTACATTTCTATCTGCCAAAAGCTTGAGAAAAGAACCATTTAAAAACGCGTTTTAATAATAACTGACCTCTAGTGTTGTTTACGAAAACTTCCTTACTGAAACGTTTCCTGAAATAGGCACATTGAAATCGGGTGGCATTTCCTCAGTCTTGGATCGAAGCGAAACAAATCACATTGCACTTCACGTATTTTCACAGAAACCAGATATTTTTTAGCTTCTACTATTCGTATTTCAATGAATCTTACTTTTGATGTTTTGAAAATATCAATTCGCGCGTAAATATTGTGGTAGGAGTAATATTTACATCACTTTCGTTGCGCTGGTGTTCGTGCGTAAAACTGTAGTAACAAGACTGGCGGAGAGACGACGCGCATGTCGCGAGGGACACGATGTAAATATAAAAATGGACTGAATTCCCCTTCTTGGGGGCATACACGGGTGAATCGCGGATAACTACGATACAATCTGGTTCGTATTTGGAATGCCATTTTTTATCACAGGTTTTTTTTTTGTTTACTTCGGATTCAAATGGTTCGAAAATAAAGAGCGATCATACATATTTAAATCTAAAATCCTAGAATTAAGAGGAAATTATTGATTTATTTAAATTTGTAGCCTTCTGCTTACAAAATAAAGTAAATTATTCTACAAGATCATCAGCTTGTTGCAGCTAATGCCTCGATTTGACATCATATTTTATCTAAACTTGAAGCTCCGCAGGTAGCTTATGGACCGGCGCGGCGTGTTTTTTGTCGTATTGGGTCGCAGATTCGAAAAAAAGGTAAGTAACTATGTTTACACATAAATAAGGACGTTGTCGAAAATATTCCACAACTTAATTATTTTAGTAGGTAATATGGCTACTCATTTTATCGAAATTAAATTATATATTTATTTAAATTGTAGGTATTTAAGAATTTCGTAATTTTATTTTGTTTTTTTAAATAATGATGTTTGGTAAACTGATGCACACGGAACTCTGATGTTGAGTAGTAAATGATGCTCAGATACACCAACGTCGCCCACATGATGATACCATATCATACTTTGCAATTGGACGTTCAAATTACATTAAGTAACTTGTTGTACGTGGGGTGACGATGGACAATTAAAATAGTAAGTTTTACGCATATTCCAGACTACATTTTCGTGGACATTACTAAAGTTTCCACTTAAAGTGTATTTAGTCAAGGTCTAAATTTTAATAGCTGCCGCTATGTACGTTCTTCATTCCCGCGATCTGAAAGCGGAGTAAATTATCCCTTCCCAATAAATTAACATTTCACAAAACTTGGATACGTCCGAAAGAGTTTTTTTTTCCCTACCTAAGCTGATAGCCTTGAGAGGCTATATCAGCGTCGCCATAACTAGTAGGTGAGCTCACGGGCTCAAACCTGATGACATTGCTAACACGAACCCTAACAAGAGCCGTCCTTCGCAAAATCTACCACCGGATCGGAAACGCGACCCACTGAGAAGATCCGGCGAGAAACTCAGTGGGCTGTGTCTGAGGGTTAATTTACTCGTCGAGCCCTTCGTCGCAAGCGACGTTTTCGACGAGAACGATGACCGGTGCTTGAGGTACCTAAAAGCACCGTTAGTGGATCGGGAGGATCCGAAATGACGTTTTGGGGTGACGTCGACTGCTTTCCATTCTGTCCGCAGGATCGGGAATGTAGTTACCGGCGGCCACGATGTGAGGTTTCTCGTGTCGTGCCGCTTTATGAAAGTGGCCGAAAGAGTGGTGTTCGATCACGCGGCCCGTGTAAGTACACGTACAATCGCTTCAATCTTATCTTTTTAAATTAACCGTCGAAGCACCGTGGTACGTGAGGAATGTAGATTTTCACGACGAACTAAGTCTTGAATACAAAGGTGTCTTTGGCCCATATAGTGCCCATGTCCAATTATCACTCTTGCGCCCTCTAATAATCGCGCAGTCAAAAGGGAATAGATATGGATGTCAGGTTCATTGAAAGTGCCGAGGCGCTTCCTAAAACCTTTGTTCCTGCCTACAATGCACACTGCACCATGTAAAGCCGCTTCTGCAAGTTTATTATTTCAGTAACGGAACGAAACTTCGATACACAAGCCCTTTATCGTCGTAACCGCTGAACTTAACGCTAGCAGTAGCTAAAGCAACTCCAGAACTTTTACAGCTTAACCGGATACTAAGCCGGTTATAGTATCAGTCTGCTAGTTAGTTTTTGTACGATTTTTTTCAGTGGGTCGTGTTTCTAAGCACAGCTTACCTGACTGAACTGAACATAGTGGCGATTGACACTTAGAGTAGGTACGGTTTCAGTGTGCGTAGTGCGAGTTTTTTAACGTTCTCGAAATCGTAAAAGTTAACTCAAATTTGTAAGCAGTTGGAACAGCGCCCCTAGCGGCCAACGTAGGCAAACCTTCTAACTCCATACAAATTTAAGTTAACTTTTACGCTATCGAGAACGTATTTTTTTTTCCTACTATGCTGATAGCCTTGAGATGCTATTTCAGCTTCACCCTAACATGTGTAGGTGAGCTCGCGGGGCTCAAACCAGAGTGTTGCTAACACTGACCCTAGCAAGAGCAGTGCTTCGCAGAATCTACCACCGGATCGGAAACGCGACCCACTGAGAAGATCCGGCGAGAAACTCAGTGGGCTGTGTCTATGGGTTAATTCGCTCGTCGCAAGCGACGGGTTCGACGAGAACGGTGACGGTGCTTGTGGTGCCTTAAAGCACCATTAATGGATACCGTAATGACGTGCTTTGGACGACGTCGACGGTTTACCATTCGGTCTACAGGATCGGGTATGTAGTTTCCAGCGGCCACGACAAGAGGGTTCTCATGTCGTGCCGCCTTCTCAAAGTGGCGCAGCGATGCCGACTATAGATACTTACTGACAGAGTCGAGCTCCAAGTCATCGTGGAGATCCACGTTCCTCAGGAACCATGGTGCGATGGCTATCCTGCAGAATCGGGTTAAAAAACTCGCATTAAGCACATTGGTGCCATTAACG